GCGCCTTTGTCTTGTGCTGTGTAAATGCAGCCAATCAGATACAAGTCACATTTAAAAGATGATATAAGCAGGTCAACAAAAAAATTGGATACAGGCACAAAATCGGAATTGACCATCAAGATCTGCAGTGTACATGCAGCCTTGTAGTTTGCTTATTGCAATAAACAGTAGTTTATAGAACTATTTCCTTTTAGTAAGTAGCGGATTCAGAGGAGTGCATTTTAACTTTTTATGCATCAAATATGCGCTCAACTTTTTTCTTGATTGAGACATTAAATTCTTCTTTCATAATTTTAAGTGTTTTCAAATTGCATTGTTTTCTGACATCTTTGCTGTTTATTATCTCCTGTAAAGCTGCTTCTGGCCATGCCATGAATGGTTATAAGAGATATGTTTAAGGGATTATATGCAGCATCCTTCCTTTATTCTCCTAGGTAAGGTGAGATCTCCACATAAGTATCATACTTAGAGGGAAAGAGGGCTTTATGCATTATAAAGCTTAAAGCATCAGCATTGGTACTTAGTATCGGCCGATCACCATGACAAGGTACTGGTAGACAGTATCGACTGCAAAAATCTTGATCAGAGCATCCCAACTAAAATTCCACAGGATGGCTTTGAGTTTTTGTCTTTAACTGTATATAAATGCCACACTTACTCTTTCTTTTAACAAAAATGACATATTATCACAAAAAGTATCATTGATAAATTATAAAAAAAACATTATATTTGCAGAAACTAACATTTTTGTTTAACTAATTTATTTATGTTTACATACATTCTATTAAAATCAAACTGATCTCAGACATAACAAGCAGGCTTTTGCCATTATGCTATATTTTCTTGTATATTCTTCTTGTATATTCTTGTTGTGACCAGTGATGTACGGCGCTGCTCACTGTGATTTGATTTTGAAAACATTATGCTTGGGCGTGTTGTTGAGATCTCTTCGTGGTGTTCATTGGCATACCGAATGACTAAATCTATTCAATATGTCTGCCAAGTGCGTATACTATATCACTTGCTGTGCACAGCTACATATTACCCAGTTCACATGTAAACAAAATGAATATATGCAGTCTTTTTCCTAAACTACAGGACACCATGACTGTCCCGTCCACTGCTGTGTGGCCATTTTAGCTACACTCATGACTGGCACGATGTTGTCGAGGTTTATGCAATGGATGAACTTCAGACAGCCTTCAAATGACTGGTTTCCTGCCAAAGAGTTGTTGTGATGCTGTTTAGAGAAGGAGAATCACCATGTGCTGTTTGACCTGTCGTCGTGTCTTTGGATCGGTTCTAGTTCCTCCTCTTTCCTGGGCCAGTGAGAGAATACAGCTGGTTTAGTCTGCCCAACACTGAGTTGAAGGATGGGGATATTGTGTTCTGAACACCAGTACGGTTGTTGGCGTAAGAGCATGAGTACTGTAAACAAAGCTGTGTAGAGTCGGGCACTGGGGCTCTGCTGTCAATGAAAGAGACTATCGGGATGTAACTTTCAGTGTTACAGAAAGAGAAAGTGTACAGACTGATGGCCTATATGCAGGACCAGATGGAATCTGTTGACATTTCTTATTATTTATTATTAATAACTATTTTTAGGGGTTTTTCACTCTTTAACTGGACAGTACAATGGAGTGTATTGACAGGAAAGTATGGGAAGCAGAGAGAGGGGAAAGATCAAAGGAATTTGAGCTGGGAATCGAACTTGGGTCACTGTGAGCACAACAGTGTAACATGTTGACACACTAATCATACGATTATTCCCACAGATTTTATCTTTTAACAGATTTGAACTATTTTAACGTTTATTTAAGTTTTACAATGCAAATCCATGTAGAACAAATGTTTTGGTTTAAAATAAGACAGAAAAAACTATAACAATATAAATTGTACAGTTCTCAGCATAAGTACATCCCTCACAAATCTATCTTTTACATTAATATTTTCTATAAGATGCTTTACAATGTTATATTTGAGCATATACATTAGATTAGTCAGTACTGAAGCCCAGTATTTGTTACAGAAAAATATGAAATTAATTTTGTGAAAGATGATAAATCTAGAGAAACAAAAAAAAATATATACAATTATTTGAAAATATTTAACTTGAATTTAAATGTATCTAAATGTATTAAATGTAATTTATTTCTAAAGAGGTTTGGCAACTAAAATGTTATTTCTTTAAATATATCTCTATAATAAATCTGTTTTGCTCAAATGCATCAAAATATATTATTTATGTTCACTCAGAAATTGGGGTTTACTCATTTATGCTGAAAAATGTACATATATCTTGGAAACATTTGCAAATTATTTAATAATATTACTGAAATTAAGATAAAAACTGATTTAATATTTACACATTGCCATAAGTAAATCAAAAGATTGAATGGGCTAAAAAAATCTGAGGACATCTGCACAACCACTATGTGTTCTATTTACACAACCATTCAATTCAAATCTTTTTTATTGGACTGCGTTATACAATATCCCTGAAACTGTGAAACCAGCAGTGCATATTTTAATTGGTCTGCAAATTGTAAAAAATAAAAGAATTTGGATTTTTAGTAATAATCTTTGGTATTTTGTCTTTATTAATAATCACAACACAAATATAATGATCAGTTTAAAATGATATGCCCCTGATAAGTGTAAAATGAGTAAGTTTATAGTCATAGGCTAACTGAATTGGTCAAAATAGAGGGAATGTGGCCTTTAAATCATTAAACACTTGTGATAAAGTATTTACTTTAACAAATGTCAGAAATTTCTAGCAAATGTCACAAATAATTATTATGATATTCTCTGACTCAAGTGCTTTTCACTTAGAAGTAGAGTTTTATTAAAGCTATTGCAAGTATCCAGTTTTATTCAGCAGTTAAAAACTATTTACAAATCATTTGATGGAAATACTTATATTTCATATTTCACAGTATATATTGCTATGAATGAATAAATGTTACAATTTTGTTCTTCAGTATTGTGCAGCCCTAGCATAAACAGTAATATTGTGACTTGTATTTAAATGTTGATTCCTTTGTTTAATTAGCACCTCTTGTGTGTATTGCCTTTTGTTGAATTGCTGAATTTATCCTCAATTGTAGGTCACTTTGGCCATTGCGTCTGCTAAATGACTAAATGTAAATTAATGTATATAATTAAATCATAAACTGTAAAAATGTCGTTTTATATTATTTACTTTAATCAAATAAACTTTTCTAGTCATCTCAACTTACAATCTATCAGAGTAAAAATATTATGTTAATTTGTATAATTTGAAACAGTGGTAAATTAAATCAACAATTGAGCCAAATTTACTTTAAATATAAACATGATCTTGAAGCTTTACTTCTATTATCAAATGTGCTGCTTTATATTTTTGTAGGAGCTCTGGTGCTTGTGTTCTTTATTGTTTACATTCAAAAGGTTCATGTTTAAATGAATATCTTGTTGTAACTGTGAAAGTGAAAGTAGCTTAGGATTTTTTTTGATATATGGTTTAGAATTGATAATACAATTACTATTTTTTTTTATTTTTTAGGTTGGTAATTTTACAGATTAAAGGTGCAGTGGTGATCTGCCAAAATGCTATCCGTGAGCATAATAGCTTTGAGAACACAGTCCTTTTCCTGCATGCTGACCAAAGCCATGTCTCCTGAATGCGCACCTTAAACAAGACAGAGAACCACTAGATCACAGGTGTCAAACTCAGTTCCAAAAGGGCCGCAGCTCTGCACAGTTTAGTTCCAACCCTAATTAAACACACCTGATCAAACTAATTGAGTCCTTCAGGCTTGTTTGAAACCTACAGGTAAGTGTGTTGGAGCAGGGTTGGAACTAAACTGTGCAGGGCTTCGGCCCTCCAGGAATTGAATTTGACACCCCTGCACTAGATCATGTAATTGTCAACTTTATATTTTGTACTTTATAATACTACAATTCCGAACAATAAATTGTATTATATCTAGCATGTTTTCAGTTGTGTAGCAAGCAGAACTTGTCATAATGTGCAAAATTTCATGCATGCAAGCATTGCTGGTTTCACTCTCTTGCAATTTGTTCTAAAACGACTGGTGCTTGGCCTGCAGGGTGCAGGACTTAGCCATACTTACATGCTATTTCAGACCGAATATTCAAAGTAGTTTTCTTAAACAATATAGGGAACCTGTGTCACAGGCTGTAACTGTTTAAAAATGAACCAATGTGATGTGAATATAAAACCAACTTTACCTCAGTAAAGCAGGCTAGGTGGAATAGCGTTTTATACTTATGTTTTGTTGCCAAACTAAATAAAAATCTACATTATCAATGCTGTAAAAGGTCCATTATGAAATAGAAAATAGTCACATCAATCTTTCACCGGAAGATTTCAGTGGCTGAACAACACTTCTGTGCATATAACCCATTCATAAAATCAGTCTGCATGAACAGGGATGCATAGATGTACAAATCTACATTTGTTGACAGACAGTTTGGGCTACTTATCAGAATTGAGGGAATTGTCAACCTGACAAATTTGTATTGGACGAATATTTGTTTTAATACATTTAGATAATTTACTTTAATCATTACTATTGAAATGTAAAGAGACTTTTAACCAGCACAACAAAAAATATTTCTGAAGACAATCACCTACTGCACCTTTAACTTCACTGTGTAGACCTAAGCAGAAATGTTCAGATCATAGTACATTGTGTGAGATCTTTGCTTCCTTTTTGTTAAATAACATTAAAATGACAATTTCAGCCTTGAAAAGAAGGCTGACTTTTCCTTTAAAGGTCAATACAAGCTGTCTTGTAATGTATGCGTTTATATACTGTACTCAGATTTCCCCTGGCCTCTGACCATCTTCTCATCACGTTCTTCACTCAATAGATCTTTCAGGATTTACTGATGCTATGGAGATATTTACCAGCTCTCCTCTTTTTTTCTCTCTCACTTCTGCTCTATACTTCACCACTTTCTTTCTTTCTTTCTTTCTTTCTTTCTTTCAGTGACTACATAATCAAGGAGAAGACAGTCCTCCTGCAGAAAAAAGACAATGAAGGTTTTGGCTTTGTGCTGAGAGGAGCCAAGGGTAAGAAAAAAGGGGGTCATTAAATAAGACTTTAAACCCCAAAGAGAAAGGAAAAATAAATTTGGAGTGGGTCTTAAATGAACTACATTTTTCAGTAAATGATTTAATTAAATTGATTTCCATTTCTAGGCATACACATGGTAGAAATTAGGAATTCAGTGCCATAAAATGATTGTTAACATTTCACTTTATTCCTTAAGTAACAAACTGTACTGGCCAAATCCATACACGATGCCAATAGAAGATCAATACCTAAAGGCATGACCTTGTTGCAGGATAAAAAGAAAGTGAAAGTGGATTAGACTGAATTTTCTACTATACTGGGTTTCTTACAGTTTGCATTGTTTAATTTTTTACAAAAGAAGCTGCAGTCATATCATAACTTCTGTAGTGCTGTGGAAATTGCACATGGTCAAACTCATTGTGACTGCAGCAACAAGATCACAAATTTGTCAATGGGTATTTAACAGGATCATCAAAAACATATTCCAAAAAACCATTTGTTTGATGAAACTACTTTAATATTATAAAAAAAAACTGTGGCAAAAAAAATTGTGTAGTGTAAATTTAATTTGTGTTAATTTAACATCATTTAACTACAATTAACTGTGCCTCAGAAGCCACTCGCAGAAATGTTCTCAACCCCCTTGAAAGTCATTAAGTTATTCACATACAGCATAAAAGTTCACATTCATTCAAATTCTTTCTCACTCACTCACTCACTCTCTCTCACACACACACACATACACATACACATACACAATGCTTCCCAAAATAGGAATTAGGACATTTGACTTTCATCACCGTTCATCAATTTGTTCATTGTTATATGCATATTCATGATTTGACATGTATTCTAAATCTTGGATAGTTCCCCCAATTAAGTTGTAAATTACTCATTCTGGCATTGTTCAAATTCAGTAGGTCCTTCAACCACACACACACACGCAGAAAAACCCCACAAATGTCCTTCTTCGACTCAAAATGGTCCAATGTGATACATCATGGGGATTTTCACACTCAGGAAACTTTTCAAGATGGGTTTGGCTGCAGACTTGGTGCAGATGCAATCTGCGCTGCATGCCATGCTTTTGAATGGGCTCACCTAACCCCACCCCCAACCCTATTTGTCACAGTGACGTCACTAGCTCCATTGAGTGCATTGTGTCTGACATTGCATCTCTAAGGGATGCAATCTCCGCTTGCATCATAAAGGCTGCATCCAGATACTATTGAACTTTTCCACAGTTCCTACACTGTATAAAAATTATGTGATTAGTTTGTCCTGACAGCCTAACCTAATTATATAAGTTACGCGAGCTGTTTAAAGTCAGTTTAACATATTATAAGTTCAATGGATTTATAAGGTTAACTTGATTCAGTTTAAAAATTTAAGGCAACCAGGATCTTTTACAGTGTAGAACTATGGTCAGAAGAACATGCTTTTGGTGTGGTTTACATCGCAGGCACTGGAAATTATTTTTGTTATAGGAACTAAATTACTTTCTACTTCAGAACATGATCTAATTCAGCAGTGAATGTCCAAATCCAACTAAGAAAAAGGTCTGTCTGAGGTGAAATTAGTTTTTGAAAAACCAAGCATATGGTATTAGAACAACACCAGGGTGTGTGAATGATGAATTGAGAACATTTTGGTTATCCACGCTCGACTGATTACATAAATGTCCTGTTTCTTTTTGTAGCTCAGACCCCTATAGAAGAGTTCACTCCCACCCCAGCCTTTCCAGCACTGCAGTACCTTGAGTCTGTCGACGAGGGAGGCGTGGCCTGGAGAGCTGGTCTGCGAATGGGAGACTTCCTTATAGAGGTGTCTGCAAAACCACATCATGGACCTTTGTTTCTGGTCCTCCTTATTTGAGTCTCTCTAGAATTGTCCTCATTACTCAAGGACTCTCTGTGTGTTTTCTCTGTTTCTTCTCTAGGTGAATGGTCAGAATGTGGTTAAGGTGGGACACAGGCAGGTGGTCAATATGATCAGGCAAGGCGGTAACAGTCTCATGGTCAAGGTTGTCATGGTTACTCGAAATCCTGATATGGAGGAAGGGGTCAGAAAGAAAAGTAAGGGATAGAATTTCATACTGCATAGGAAAAAAAGAAGTGAGATGATGATGACATTGGTGTCTCACTCTTTTCCTCCACATACAGTCCCACAGCAGAGTAAAAGACTGAGCACACCGGCTATCGCTCTGCGCTCCAAATCCATGACATCAGAGCTGGAAGAGATGGGTAAGATGGGGGAAATGAGAGAATAAAATATGTTTTAAAAATCCTAGAGCAGTGTTTCCCAAACTTTACTGACCCCCTTTTATTAGAACAAACCAGAAATGATCTCAAGGCTTTATTATTCAATCAATTGACACAGAAAGCCTGTCAGATGTTTGTATGTGATTTATACTGTATGTTTAATAGCGTTCCAAAGTTTTTTTATGCTTGCTAAGGCTGCAATTAATAACGTTAAAGTAAACAAAGTAATGCTGTTAAATATAGTATTATAATATTATTAACTATTTATAATTTATATATTTTTAATTAATATTTCTAAATGTAATAAAAAATGTGGCATTTTTTTGTGATGGAAAATCTTTTAATATTCCTTCAAATTATTCCTGTTCCAAATATGCCTGACAATATTGTCTGAAATGTGAACTATTGTTAAACTGAATGACATTTTAGAGTCTTCTGTAAATCTTGGTAAAATATTCATTATTATTGCTTAAAACAAACAAGAAGCATTCTTATGTACAAAAACTTAAATAAAAAATTAAATCTGTATTACACTTTTATTGTTTTAATGCTAGAAATAAGTCATCTTTGTCCCATATTGCAAATCCCGAACAGTAAACAATTACATTCATATTTGAACTTAATACATTTAAAGATTAATTTCTCTTTAAATCATTTAGAAAGAAAAAATCATTTTAAGCACACCCTGCTTATGTAACCCCTGGGGTTTGCTTACCTCGATTGGGAATCACTGCGCTAGAGGACAGAACCAGAAGGTTTAGAGAGAAAGAAAGATGACAGTGAAGAGATGAGAGAAATGCAAGAGAGGATGAAAGAGCTAAATGGAATAGTTTAAACAATCAGAAGGGAAAGGGATTGAAGAAGAGAGAGTGAATGGCAGAGTAAACTATCACAGTGAAACAAATAATGAAAAGAAGAAGAAACTGATGGAGAGAAGAGTTAGAACTGGATGGCATAGAGTTACAGAGGAAACGAAAGAAAGAGAGAGAGAGACAGCATTAAGAATGTTCTTTCACTGTTCTTTCAGAAGTTCCACACTGTCACTACCAGCACCCCCACTACAGGTAACCCCCAAAAACTGTCCCCTACCAACCTTTATATCCCCCACCCCGCCTCCCACCTTCTCCCTCAATCCTCCACCTGCAACCCTTATTAGCTTTAACCCTAAACCTCAATCTATAGCACTTCCCTTATGGTTTACTGGTTCCTTAGTGCTGTAGTAATATGGTGGGCATAGCAAAAAAGGGGCAGTATGTGCTGGCAAAAGATGCCATCATGACTTATAATCATTTAGCTTACCAATCAGGCATCTGTAACATCAAGGCAATCAGGCTCAATCATTTCAGTTTCCCACCAGCTACAAAAAGTCTTCTTACTGTCATCCAAATCATTGTATAAACCTTCCCCTATGAACCAGTCCTCACCTGTCTAGTCCACTGAGGCATGTTTTTACCCTTCTCTCTTCTCTTCAGCCCAAACAATAGTCTCACAGCTCACTGTCCCTTGTGGCACAGTGTCTACTGTAGATCAACACTCTCTTAAGCCCAGTTTCTAGCATTTCAGTAATCAGATTAGTGTGTGGGTTATACATTTAGTAATGGTGAGTACTGACTAAAGTCAAACGGGTTCATTTCTATGCACTTTATAGAAATCAGAGAGAACGGGTTCATTATCCAGTCCCTAAAGAAACATACAACACCAAACGCATTAGGAAATGTTTGCCAGATTATTATATTGAAGTATATGTCATTGCTAAGAATATGAGTAGGAATGGACAATATGTTGGCTGTCTTATTGACATTGGTTTAGTAGTCTAATATATGAACACTACTATTCAAACTTTTGGGGACAGTATCTTGTTGTTATTATTTTCTTCTAGCAAGAGTGAACATAATATGTATACAGAGAGGAAAGACTAATATATAGTTATGAAACCATACCATTTAGAATAATTGCTGCTCTTCTATGTTAAGTAGCATTTTCAACATAAATATCATAATAATAAATGTTTCTTGAGCACCAAAATAGCATATTAGAATAACTTCTGAATGATCAAGTGACAATTAAGCTAAAAGTCTGGCTATCTAAAATTATTCCTTAACATACAGTAAAATAAAATGTTGTGTTACTCCACTGTTTGTACTGAACTTTGTTTTAAAAAATAATCAAAAGCCTTTTTGAACATTTCAAACTTTTTCCAAAAAAAAAAAAAAGACATTTAAAAATCTTACTGACCCCAATATTCTTAGCAGTTATTTTCAGTCAAAACTTAATATATGTGCATCTCTAATATTTAAAGGGCCATGAAACCCCTCCTGTCTCAGCGGGGTGTTTTTACACCACTAGTTTAAAAAAAAGTCAGGAAAGTGGGTGAGTCCAGCTTTGTTTGGGTGGGAGTGTCGAGTGACGAAAGAGGGTTTGCATGAAAAGGGGAAGAGTTTTGTGGAAGTGGAGGAGTTTCAGTCCATAATATTACAGTGATATTACTGTAAACTTAGTAACTAAATAATTTTGACTAAGGTATATCTTCAAAAACTGAAAAAAATACTGCTGATGATACTAATTTTGCCGTTTAAATAAACATAAACAGAGAACTTTGATCACACACTTACCAAATGCGTAGAGATTTTTTTTAAAAAGAAGACGAGCGGCAAATCTGGATTTTACCAAGCTCTCGGGTACATTTTTTTAATTTCGAACATATTTTTGTCGCGTGTTAGCGAGCTGTGCTTTCATTGTGGGAAAATGGAAACAAAACTTTTGTTTCAGCACATTTAAAAAGAGAAACATCAATGACCCATGTCTCCGAACAATTCTCTTTAATTAAAGTTGGCAACACAACGTGGCGTCTCTCTAAACACTGTAACAGGTAAAAAGAGTCTTCGAAGCTATTTCATGCAAATTAATGAATTTGCATCACGTTCACAATAGAGTGCGCTGATTGGTACGAACCAAGTCTTTCTTATGAATTAATGAATAGATGTGCTGAAAGCTCAATGACGTCACTTTGTATCTCCACGCTGGATTTTACACAATGATCTCATTGCTTTGACGTGGCTTTAACATTTCTGTTTAAACCGAAAGAAACAAATTTGCTCTAAACAACACAAAAACTTCCAATTTTCACTTTTTAGTTAAATATATGTGTCCTAATTGTGCTTTTAGCAATGTGTGGCATATATTTAACTGTCAACATCTAAAAAAAATGTGTTTTGGGTGTTTCGTGACCCTTTAAATGAAATAACACTGTAGCAAACCAGATTACTGTGTGTGACATCTTTAGATCATTACATGCAGCTTTAAACATCACATGTAGAACAACCAACCATAATTCTTTCAGATTTTCAGTCAGGGGGTGCCTTCCTGTCTAAGCGGGTGTTTTTGTCCAGAATCTACTTTTCAGGCTAGACTTGATGAAAGAAGACTATTTCAGGGCATAAGAGTAATCTGTGTCTGCTGTTACCTATAGTGCTGTTTGAGTACTTATAATGATGTATCTTCTCATTGTACCGAAGGTGTTTAAGGTGGTTAATGTGTGCAGGTGTTGCATTATCTATTACCATGTGACTAATCAAATGCAGCAATTTAGTGTAAGTGAAGAGCTCTCACCTTTTCAGACGCCCTCACCTCTCCACCTGGTATTGCATCCCACCTCACTGGCTGCCGTGCTCTAAAGATAGCAGAGATTGCTGTAGCATGAATGTCTCTCTGCACTAGCACCTTATAAAAGGCGGAAGCACTTACATGAAAAAAAGACAGAAATGACTCTATAAAGACAAAAGGGCAGATGATTAGTCGTAAAGGAATACTCCACTTGTTTTTGTTAAAATATGCTCATTTAAAACTCTCCTAGAGTTAAACTTGAGTTTTATCATTTAGATTTCATTCAGGCGATTTCCAGGGCCCAGTTTTTCAAAAGTAATCCAGTGGGATTTTGGATCACAAATTAGATCACATCTTGGCAACGGGTTTTTCAATAGTAACAGAGGGATTTTTAATTAAGATGTAATCCAATCTTACATTTGATTTAGATCAAACCTTGGGTTATTTAAAACTTTGAACTCAGATTGGGATCTATTTGATAAATAAACAGGATTATTCTGATCACATCAGAAGGGTGGATTCCGTGTTTTAAACGAAATAAAGCAAACAAAAAATATTAAGGGTTACTGATAATATAAAAAAAAATCCTTCATATTTGAAGCCTTTATGAAGTATGTTTAATCTAATGAGATATGGTAAAAAACAACAACAAAACAATATCAAAGCATTATTGAATTAGAACGAACTGAAAAATGTTTAACGTTTGTTGATTGCAGTGTTTCTGTTTCTTACTATTAAAACAAACAATGGCTGTTTGTGACAACTGTTAGTTCCACACTGTTGGTTCCATTAAGGCTTGGGTAAGCAGGATTTGGTAACAATGATTGAACCCAATGTTCCTTTAAAAACTATCATAAAAGAAAGATAGATCAGTTAATCCTGGATAGAAAAACATGGGATTTTCAAATCTGGACCAATTTGATCCAGATTACAATTTTTAAAAACTGGTCCCAGGTCTGGCAGGAGCACTTTTAGCTTAGCTTAGCATAGATCATTGAATTGGAAAATACCTTTAGCATCTTGCTTAAAAATGACCAAAAGAGTTTCAAATAATACAAAACAATATTACTAAACCAATCTCTATTGTACAGAGCGAGAGCGCTTCTCTTCTGTTAAACGGAACAGTCGCATCATCAATGATGTAATATTGCTCGGGCTCGGAAGGTAAAGATGCAGTGTGAGTGCAGGCCATCGGGGGATAGGGGTGGGAAGAACCGAAGCACGGTTCAAGGCGACCGAGCCTATTGAGAGTACACCCTTAGGCAGCACAACTGGCACACCCACCCTGTGCAAGCAGGTAGACCAGTTGGAAGTTACCTAGCTAGAGACTATTTTCATGTGCTGTATAAATCATTGTGCCTGCTGCAGTTATGGTACATCATCAAAGTTGTTTTAAAAAAAATGTTAATTTTCCGTTGGTCCTAGTACACAATGTAACTACAGAAGAGTCAAGCTTTAGGAAAATTATCGAAAGTCATTTTTTTGCGAGATGCTAATATTCTAATCTGATTCAAGGAGCTATACTAAAATAAGCTAAGCTAAGCTAAAAGTGCTTCCACCAAGTTTCAAGATCATCTGAATGGATTAAAAATGATAATACTCAACTGTTTAACTGTAGGGGAGTTGTAAAATGAGCTATATTTAAAAAAGAAAAAACTTAAGTATTCCTTAAAAATAGCCTATACTGTAGACCCCTCTTTTAATTCCTGTAGAATCCCTCAGCTTTATGTGCGCCAAGAAAAATTTACACAGATACACAATCCCTACATTGTCACGCGTGGCTTTTAAAAACCTTTCCTGCACACTTTGAACGCAAGGGTTGTTTTTGGTGACATGTCTTACTAACCTGTCTTGTAACCTCCCTAATTTTTCTGTCTGTCCTGGCATTCCATACACAGTGGACAGAGGTAAGAAGCACTTCAGATTCACATTTCTTTGATGTTGTCATGAACTGTTGTGCACATTCTGGATTTGAGTGTAGTGTCTGACCTAAATTAAAAAAAAATAGTGTTTAATCTCTTGCTAACTTGATAGTTGATGATAATGTGATTGTAGTATTAAAAGAGTATTACTACAGGCTGGTGGTGTTCAACCTTACATTGACTCTCTGTTTGCTTGATCACAGCCTCTGCCCCATGGAAAAAAAAATCAGGTAATGCATTTTGTTTCGTTCTTTCTTTTATGAAACACCTCATCTAATGGGTTTGCCAAATGTTTATGACATAAAATCTGTCTGGCTGTTACAGAGTTCGAATCTTCACAAGCTACAGAGAAGAAGAGGACAGTTTATCAGATGGCTTTGAGTAAGATACACATACAATACATCTAAGAAATACATAAAGTTAGCAAATAAATTGACTGTTCAACCAACAATTCAAATTCTCTCATCATTTATTTGCATTTATGTAATTCTGTGGCTGAGAACCAAAGAGAAGTTTAGCATGAGCTACTCTCTTCCATACAGTGAAAACTGATGAAAGTCTTGTGAACAATATGCAAAATTTTCTGAGTTTATCTGGGGTGCATTTCCAAAAACCATCATTAGCTAACAGAGGTCGCAAGTTCCGTTGTTACAAACAGTTCATTGATTTGGCATTTCCCAAATCCATTGTTCCAACCAACATTCGCAAACTGCGTCACAAACTTGTACACTTGCAACTACACCTCTAGAGCTGTAGTTAGAAGCATAGTTCCTGGTTGTGTTCTATTCCCCATTATCCCCCTAAGCCCTATTCAACATTCTAATATTTAAACTTGGAATGATTAAAATAAAAATTTAGTCATCTCTCTTAGGTGCAATTTGCTTTCAAAGTATTTTTACATTTCAGTTTAAACTATCTTAATATTGACAATTGTGTTCCTTACGTAATACACTTTGAAAACATTTATGCCATTTTGAACACAGCCGTGGCTCATGACGAAAGTTATAGGTGACTTATTTAAAGTGGAATTTAAGTTACATCTCCAAAGCTTGTGAAAACAAAATATAAAGCATACGTTAATGATTTTAATTTATAGTAGGTTATTTATTAATAATTATATCTGTACTGTATGTGACATGGGCCTGTTGGTTAGAATTTTTCTACAGTGGTTTGAATGTGTCAAATTGCAAAAGTAGACTTTTCAAAAAACATTTAAAAAAACAATATCCTACTTAAAATTGATAATAATAATAATAATAACAATAATAATAATAATAATAATAACAACAATAATAATAAATTATTATTATTATTATTATTATCGTTATTAGGTAGGATTTTTTTAATTTCCTTATAAATGGCCTACTGTACATTAGGCCTGCAAACATTAACGATTAATATGATTTATATATGAGATTAGAATACGTGTTAGTTAAGTGATTTCATATGGAATATTCTAAATAATATTTGTTGAGGAAACATATATAGTTCCTATATGTGCCATTTCCATATATTTCAAATAATATAGTAACAAGCGCATGTTTTTACCAAAACTAATATTGTATTTTTTTAAAAATGTGTGTCCATGTAAAAGCATATAATTTGCAAAAAAAAATAAAAAATGTATGGGGTATTTTCTGTAAAGAAGTAGTTACTACCCCGTTAAGAGCATCATTATGGACGTTTTATGTTATAACTAACATGGTTCAAACGATGGATCTGCGACAAAGCAATTATGGTTTTGGGAAACACCCTTCACGACTTTGTTCTTTTCCCAAATGATGCATCGTACTGTTTCAGCCGTGATTTATGTTGTTGTTTGGAAAATGCACCCCTGGATGTGTTAAATTTATTTTATTGTGACCAAAAAAGACTTTCATTGTATGGAAAAGTTCATTCTGAGTCAACAATTCCTAAGGCCCTGTTTACACTAATGCGTTTTAGTTTTAGAATGAAAACGATCTGCGTCCACATTGGCGTTTCACCTAGCGTTTCTGAACAACTCTTCATCCACACTATTCAAATGAAAATGCACATCACGTGACCACACACACACACTCTGGCATGCACTGCAGCAATGAGAGCTGTGCACATCGGACCGTTCATCAAGCATCTACTGCTGGATCTAATCTCACTATATTTCTTAAATGTGATATTTAATTCATTTTGTTCTCTATCTAACAACATATCCCTCGTATTTTGAATCTATTTCTTGTTCTCAGGTAACTTGTTTTGGCTGAGCACAAAAATAAGTTAAAATATTAATTAATGTAACCACGTACACTGATTCTGCACATTTGACTGATTGCTTGCATTTATTTCTTATAATGTATAAAAATATTGTATGTTATACATTTATAAAGGTTATTATTGATTATTAAATCTGATATTCAGCAAAAGAGACGGTATGTTTCGTATTTTCAATGAGAATGAAAGGAGGTAGTTATGTTATAGGCTTTGTTTTGTTATAAATATGCATACAGTGAAGATGACAGTCATAAAAATATTTAGCTACAGGACATCTCAACATTTTTGGTGTCTGTTAAGTTGCTAATATCAAAATGAAAAGAGGCAGTTCCTCAAATCATGTTTTCGTTTTATTTTTAAGAAAGTGGAACAACGTAGTTAGGGTAATGTGAATGATGTTATAAAGTTCATGTTCCTTAATTCTGAAGTTTTCCCCGATGTGTCCTCGGGAGTTTTCCATATCAAACTTGCAAAGTCTGAACTTATAAGGAGATGCAAGACTGAAGTTTGTGTAGGCAACTTAATATTAAGGAAAAGCCCCAATCAGATAGATGAATGTCTGCAGCCCCGCCTCCGTCTTCAGATGTCTCTGTTTTCCTCCATCCACACTGACACGCAGCAGCAGCGTTTTAAAATGAAAACAACCTCTTCAGCAAAAGCTCAGTTTTTGGTGCTTGAAAACTTTGGTGTAATGGTGTAACTGTAGCAAAACTTACGCATTTTAAAACTAAAACGTATTCGCGTAAATGGGGCCTAATTAAAGCTAAGAATGTAAAGTTGTACTGTAAGTGAATGAACGAAATCATTCTTTTTTTTCATGTTTCTTTTTCTCTGTCAGATAAACTGGATGAGATTTTAGCAGCAGCACAGCAGACCATTAATACAAATGAGGCTCCAGGGCCCCGGGTTCAGGGGGTAAAAAGAGAACGGGGCAGAGGCTTTTATAATGAGGTTTGTGTGTGAGCTCGTACAGTAGTTACTAGAGATTTCTAAATTGCATTCTTTTAAATCTTGGTATAATTTAATGTATATTATTATTTTTAACATTTATTATGTCTTTTGCCAGCCAAATTTCGACCAAACTGGAATGGGGATGACATCATCTGGGGCAGGGTTAGGCTACGACCGTGGTCAATTTGTGTCTGGCCATGGCCCCCCGCACGGTATGCTGCGACAGAAGTCTATCGGTGAGGCTGTCTGTTTGTCCATCTGTCTGTCTGCCCACCTGTGTGTCTGTTTAACCATACTGGTGTACGTCTATGGTACGTGCGTTGAGAGCACTCCAAAGAGTGCAGCTGTGGGTTTGCTTTAATGCTTATCATTTGTATTGCTTTATTGCTCCAGATTAGTGACTGTACAATTCAAACACTTCATAGGAATCTTGTCAGGGGTTTGACTGGGATCTAGGACAAACCAATTATTAAAACAAATTTGAATGTTATTATTATTATTTTTGAATCTTTTACTTTTGGTGTTCAGCATCAGTGTTCCTTTTTGGTTGAACTATAAAATTGACAGCCCATTTATAACCCTCAAGATAATAATAATAATAATAATAATAATAATAAGAGCACACTGACTGTACAGGGAAAATGCTTGCTATCCCATGGCATGAAGGCAAAAAACATTCATGTGATGTTAAATATGTAAATTCTTACTTTCTTAGTTTACAAAATTGGAACCTTTATGTGCACTAGAGATAACAACCTCAATACCTGTTTCTTTTGCATGCTGAGAGGGTAGCTATTGTTAGTGTCACTTTCTGTGCCATCAAGTACTGTAGACATTGTGTGTGTGTTGTATTTGTCTTAATATAACAGACTGTAACTAAAATTTGTCTGCACTAACATAAAACAGCATTGCTAATGTAAGGAGGTTAGCTTGTACATGTTCGGAGATTGATCAGTCATGGTAATAAACAGACAAGCTGACAGACAGACAGACAGACTACAAGATGGTCTCTTTTCTGTATCCTGTTTTGTTTGTCCTTTGCTCAGTATTAGAAAATAAATATATCTTTTCCTTTTTTGGTTATTTTCTCACTTCCAAATGTTGTACATTTATCTTGTCTCCCAAAAATATTTTTCTTTCGTCTTTGTTGTTTAGAAACATTTTATTTTAATTCTCCCTTTATACATTTTCTTGAAAATGTATTTCATCTTTTTTTTTCTGCAGGGGTTCCTGAGGAGGAGAAGCAGTTTCTTCATCCTCCAGCCATGAAGTTTGCCCGTAGTCTTTCAGTACCTGGCCCAGATGAAATCCCTCCTCCACCTACTACAGCACCCCCTGAGCCCCCTTTTTCCTCAGCTCCTCCGCTTGGCTTTAGGGGCAAGACATCTCAACAGCCGTCTGTTTCTATGTCTCAGTCTACTTCCTCTGCTGCACATTATCAACTCTACTCACAGTCAGTACATGTTACTCACGGACCAAGGGACAGGTCCCCTGGACCACCTACTGGGTCTGGAACTGGGGACCTTGCTTATTCCCATGCCCAAGCCCACCCCTCTGTACCAAGTAGGACTGCCTCCAGGAAGGTGATTGGGTACACAGGAGATCTTGCAGGGGCTGGAGGAGTGGCTGGGGCCAAAGCTGCAGCATTGAGAAGGGGTTACAGCAATGCAGTCCCACCCACCAGTGTCGCTACTGTGATTCCACAACAGCAGCAGACTACTCAGAACCAACCTTCCAGAATGGACCGGAGTGGAATGGGGGTAGGGGCTGGTGGTGTACCAAAAGGCGGTGCTCGTAGAGGAAAGGGGCCCTTGGTGAAACAGTCAAAGGTGGAAGACCTGCGTCAAGGTCAAGACACTCTAGAAGCAAAGGTGTCAGTGGAGAAGAGCTCTATTCCAATCCCAACTATCATTGTTAAAGCCCCTTCCACCAGCAGTAGTGGACGCAGTAGCCAAGGCAGCAGTGTGGAGGCTGAACCACCGCCCCCAGGAGAAAGTGACAGTTCTAAACCAGAACCTGTTGTTCCCCCACCTGCACCAACCGTGCCACCACCAGCCCCTCCATCTATACCTGCTCCTCCACCCCCATCACTGCCATCACTTCGTACTCAAGAGAGTCTGGACTTCACCAGCCAGTTTGGTGCTGCCATTGTAGGGGCAGCTCGCAGGGACAGAGAACGATTTCATGAAGCACGACGCAAGAGTGCCTCCTTTTTTCTTTCTGCTGAGGAAGAGTTGAGTGGAGCTGGAGGAGCAGGAGGGCGGACTCAGACTTCTCAACAGCAGCTGAGTTCCCAGCCTTCACCACGCCTGCGACCATCCAAATCTATAGATGAAGGCATGTTCTCAGGTGATACTTTTATCCATCACACACGCAGTATGCCTCCTGCATTTGGCTTGCCTGAGTACTCCTCACCTGCTCCTCAAGGGGATTACCAGCCTAAGTCTGTACCTGCTGACTTCTATGGGGCAGGATCCAGACAACAGCAGCAGCAGCAGCAGCAGCAAGCCCCCACCACAACTTTTATTCACCCACTAACTGGAAAAGTACTGGACCCTTCATCCCCTCTAGGCTTGGCTTTGGCTGCACGGGAACGTGCCTTGAAGGATGATGGACGTATACGTAGGGAAAGGACCACTGAACATCATTTTACCCGTCAGTTGTCAAGCATTGGGGCCTTTTCCTCATCCACTTCACAGCCAACATCACACATTTCCTACCCAATGGCCTCGTCTTCCTCTGCAACCTCCTCTGCTGCTCAATCCACAAACACCTCTTCATATCTTGTTACCTCCTCATCATTAGCTGCCACCACCACATCCACTCGGCCTCCATCTCCTAGGATCCTGCGTGGAGCAGGGAGTAGCTGGAGTGAAGAAGCTGGGGTTGGAGAGCGTGCGGATAGGGAAGCAGCTGGCACCTCTGCTCCCAGAGAAGGCCTAAGGGTTCGTTTCTCCGAGGATAAAACTGTCCACACACACCACTATCAATCTCAGCAATATCAGCCCACCTTTAAAGAGCGTGAAAGAGAACGTCAAAGAGAGAGGTCAAGAGAAAGAGAGAGGGAAAGAGAGAGGGAAAGAGAAATAGAAAAAGCTCAAACCCAGTATCAGCAACAGTCATCACAACCAATGACCCAGCAGCCTCGACGCCCCTCATTCTTGAGGATGGAGAGTGAAGCTGGAGCGTACATTCTTTCATTAACGCCTCCATCTCCTCCTCCAACAGCAGCCCCTATGCGTCCTACAGCAGGAGCCACAGGTGAAAGTGGAAGTGGTACAAGCCTGATGGTTCTGCCTCCCCCAGCTCCCTCAGTAGATGCAGATGATGAGTTTGTGTTTGCTGATCCTCTTCCTCCACCTCTAGAGTTTGCCAATAGTTTTGATCGTGGTTTGGGTTACTCTGCGATGATTTCTCACAATGTTGCAGCCCGTCAGCAGCGTCATCCTCCACCACCCCCTCCCCCACCACCCCCGCCCACTTCGAAAGATTCCTTTATGACAGGCTTTCCAGCTCACACACCCCTACCGTCACCTCAGGCAGGAGATTCCACAACTTCCAGTCTTACCTCCTATGACAGTGAGGTTGCAAACCTAACACAATCTGCCCCATCGCCCTCCCCATCTTCTCCCAACCCACTACCACCTCACTCCCCCTCCACCCTTCAGACATCTGGACCACCTCCACCTCCCTCTGTATCACCTCCTCCACCACCCAACAGCTACCATAGACCTTTTGGCTTATCTCAGTCACAACATTTATACAACAGTACACACACAACTGGACGCTCCTCCTCTCCCACCCCACCTCTCTCTATTCCAGCTCCACCTGCCTACCGGGGGCCACCAACAGCATCATCCACCCCTGCAACTTCTGTATCAATCAGAGGTGCCTCAACTGTGACCGCAAGCTGTTCCACAACTGCTTCTACAACTGTCACCTCTCCTAGTACTACTGCTGCTGCCACACCACACACACGCATAGCAACTGTCTCCACAGTAGCTACAGGGGGTAGTAGGCGTCCCAGTGCAGAGCATCATCCACCACCTAGTGCAACCAAGAGTGGTGAGTCCCAGGAGACAGTGGTAGATTCTGGGATTGAGGAGCTGGACAGCCGAAGCAGCAGTGATCATCACTTAGACAGCATTCTTGCACTCAGTGGTAGTGGGGTCAGAGAGAGGTTGGAACGAGCAGGGATGAGTAGCATAGGTGGAATTGGAGGGAGAGATGGTGCAACTGAGGTTGACAGGACAAGTGGGGCAGACTTTTTAGAGTCTTACATGAGCTACCTTGATGGGCAGACTTTTGAAATGCACAATGCCAAAGCCGCTAGCACTGCATCCACCTACCCAAAAACACAGAGGTACAGAGAAGGCACCCGGGCTGGAGATCTTCGACGCCAGACCAGCACAGCACCTCCTGCATACCACCGTCGTAGAGAGGAGGAAGAGGAAGAGGATGAGGCCGAGGAGGTAGAGGAGGAGGATTTGAGTGCCCGTGATGGCTATGGGATGAGGGAAGGGCCAGGGATTGCTCGCTCCTCTGTAATGTACTTTGACCGGCCCCGCACTCCAGAGATAAAACCACTGTGGGGAGATGGGTCGACTGGAGCATCACAGACCATGGGGGAGGGAGGGGGCCAGATAGTGGGAACATATGTGGAGCCACGTAAACTACATCCTCCCATGACTGGTATGAAAGCAAACATCATTAATGAACTAAGCACCAAATTACAGCAGAGAAGTAAAGGAACAGAGAACTGGGGGGCCCAGAGATCATTGAGCAGACATAGGTAATTGTGTTACCAATAGTATAGGTACATGTGCATGGATATATGTTTGTGTCTGCATGGTGGCCTTGAAGCGAGGCATGTGGCATGAAAATCTCTCAGCTGCATGGGCATAGTGTGCTTTTGGATTCCATGAGTCAGTAAAAGTCTGAGCCTTTTAAAGGACTCTTTGGAAATATAGACTAACCTGTGTTCATTTGCAACAGTAAAATTGTTTTGTACCTACCAATTTTTATTAATGATTTAAACACCAGTGAACACTAGTGTGTAATGCGTAACTGTGTCTGTTTAAACTGTTCCTCTCTTTTTGTGATTTCTGCTTTTTATTGCACTGTCCATGTACGTCTGTCTGTCCCACATCAGACACAGGTAACTGTTGCACTATACCTCGTTGCTCTCTCTTTCTCTTAACTGTCATTTTTTTCTTATTCTATCTTTTTATCTTATCTTTTATTCTGTTGTTCTAATTTGTTTTCTCATTTCAGGTTCTCAGAGGACTCAACAGGTGCACTGAGTCCTCCCTCTGTCCGCTCTAGCTCCCCATCTCCAGTTCAGCTCTCTCAGCCTGCCTTGTCTCCCTCTCCCACTCCTTCCTCCCAGCCACTTTACTCAAACTGGGCTCGATCTCCTTCCCCTCAGCCCCCTGCTGCCTCATCCCAGCCCCCTCCCCGATCCCATTCACCTGTTTCCCCTTCATCATATTCACCATACCCCACCTCACCCAAACACCGGCCTGTTTATCGCACCAAAGCTCTGGAGTTCCAATTTATTCCCAGTCGAGAGTCACGAAAGTCAGAGTCGCATCATGCCCAGCGCAGACGAGCACCCAGCCCTTTAATTTCTCCATCTGACCGTCCCAAGCTTGGCCCTCCCCGCCCCTCTTCCCTTCCTATTCTCCCCACTACACCCCTCTATAGCAGCCTGTATGACCTTCGTGGTTCTATTACTCCACCCTCACCTGCCAATCCCCTTGGGGACCCCTACTTTTCCCCCTCCCCCCCTCTATTTGCCCCCTCGGGTGCTCCCCCTCCTCCAAATTCCTCTCTGGTGGTCTCACGGTCCCTGTCACCCACTCACTTCCTGTCAGGGACTTCATCCCCACCTCTCCACCCCATTCCTCCACCCACTTGCCTGAGTTACCCCCATCTTCCACCCCCCTCACCCACAAAGCCCTTTGCCTCAAAACCTCTCCCATACTGGACCAAGTATGATGTTGCAGATTGGCTGGGCTACCTGAACCTGGGTGAACACAGGGAGCGATTCTTAGACAATGAAATTGATGGCACGCACCTGCCCTCTCTTACCAAGGATGACTACCTGGACCTGGGTGTGACCCGAGTTGGCCATCGCATGAACATAGAGAGGGCGCTCAGGAGAGTTATGGACAGGTGAGAGGAGAGAAAAGGGGGAAGCAGAGAGATGCAAGGGATGTCTGCAATGGAGAGGGATTAGGGTGAGGGGTAGTGCATGAGCAAAAAAGCTATTATACTTAAGGTAACTCTTGATATGCTATTGATTGCTAACTTCAGAGAACACTTGGAGTGGGCCACTGCATGAGGTCCAGGATGGCATGGGGAAAGAAATGGAGAACTGAAAGAGGGGGATGTGGGAGAGCAAGAGAAAAATACTTCCTTATAAAGACTTTCCACCTTCCCCCCCCTATCATCAGGCTGTCTTCTAGCACTTTCCCCATTTCTGCTCTCTCTCCTCGAAATGGACGGACAAACAGAAGGAGAGATGAGGCCAACCGGAGTTGAGAGAACAGGAAAGATGAGGTGACAACTGCTGCCATCAGAGATTATTCCCTGAATGAAGAATAAAGCAGGATGAGGTGACTTTGAAATCAGACTGCCTGCTTATGAATGGAGAGATACAGAAGAGAGTTGACGGCCTGTCTGAACTGTGAACACGCCTGCGCTTACATGTGTGATTCAGTCAACGAAAACATAACCACCCACATACACATCCGCATGTCAACCTCTGAACAAAATACACTTAGTTTGAGCTTGCAGGCACTCACAAGGTGGTCAAATTGGAATTAACTGAACAAATCACATAGGGGGATCTATCTCTGTAGGATTAAACATGTTCACAACATGAGAAGGTAACATACTACATAACTGAGCCAAATAATTTGAGGGAAACAATCAAAATGGTCTTATCTTTTCTGTTTTTCTTTTGGAAGAGATAGGGAGAAAGAGAGATATTGAAACCTCCTTTGCTGTCTTTCTCTTTTTCTCAGATGTTGAGCTGAGTCTAGAACTGACAAACATTTACTAAGGGTATCATTTTTAGAGCAGGTTCAATGGAGACCATTGCTGGAAGGACAAGTACTGACAAACCTCCTGTCTGGCACGACTAGGGAAGCCCTTAAAATAGAGGTCAATTTTATGGCAGGCACTTATTTGGTAAGACTGTGTTGATGCGTGGGTTCCTGTTGTTTGTGTATGAGTGTGTGCGTGTGTGTACATGATAATGTGAAAGGTTATCACTAGAGGCATGACCGTGATTTGTTAGCCTATGTGTTTTTACCTCACCAGTGGAGGATTCTATTTTGCCAAAGCCAAATTGAGGCTTGTGCTTATCTTATATTTCACTAGAAATTCTTTACCTTCTCATGTCTTATAATGAAATTCTATATATATGAAAAAAAAAATATATATATATATATATATAAATATATACAGACTGGTCACTGTATTACAAACCCGTAGCAAAAATAAGTGCCCAGACCAACAGAAAACACACATAAATACTCTACCACATACAAACATACACACAGTACATTCTCAGATTACTGATATATAAATATATATACACACTACAACCATGTCTTTTATTTATATGACACATAATGGGACACAGTAAAATATCTATGTACGGAAACAAGATGACGATCAAAATACGCAAAAAATCTTTTAACGAAGGATGATACAACATTGTAAAAAGAAAAGTATATATATATATATATATACACACACTGCAAATTTATCAACATTTTTACCAATGACTGTCAAAATATAGAAGTAACTACAACTTCAACGAACCTATCCACGATATCAAGGCTCCATTTTAAAACAGGAGACAGCATGGAGAAGAGGGAGAGGAAAAACCAAACTGCCTGTATTTCTCTTTTTCCAAGTCACTCTCCCTCTCTCCTTCCAAAAATCAAAACACTTTCTATGGAGGCGAGGCAGGACGAACATGCACTCAGACATGGGTGAGGGATACGTGCTAATCTGTTTTAATACAACGATTGTTCCTATAACAATTTTTAAACTCTAAATGGGTCTGGAATTCTATTGTTGAGTTAACAAGAGATGATGTTATTTATTGCAGTCATTGTTCTCATGGTCCTTGCTGTTATCTCTACAAGCTGCAGTGTTTCTTGTTTGTTTCTGCTGGGATGCTGTTTATGCTTGACTTTGTTTTTGTTTTGTTTTTTTGTTTTTGAGTGACCACATGCAATGTGTTCAATCCTTTTGTACCTCTAGGATTTTACTTAGAAACAAGATTTCATATCTCACAATGTCCCTCACCCTATTGCTTCCCCCTTTCGAAACACAATTGTGACATTGTATGCAAGGACTATCAAGGAGTTTATTGTCTGTGACCATATATTTACCGTTTACATTCATATTCCCTTACACAAACTTATAAGTAAATCTAGTGACCTCCAGCCCTCATCTCCAACACCACAAATAGTTGCTCAATCAATTAAAAGGGCTCCTCATCCTTTTAGACATACTTCCTTTTAGTCATTACTTTCATCCAAAACACCGACGCCTTCACTCTTCTTACTTTCCTGTCTCTCTTTCAGAACCATCAGTAAAGATCTCATCCCCTCCATCTCCATATCTTTCATCTGTTCATCTTCTAAGAGTGTGGCATCTTCATTCATCATACTGCTCACTTTACCTTACTCATACTGGACAAAAAGATTGAGGAACTAATTGTATTTTTTTTTTATGTTTAAATCTGGTAAGTATAGTGATGTTGATAACAGTAAGGACAATGAATGAAATTATTATTCTGAGATGGAAAAAAAAGGATTCCGAGTTTTAAAGAATCTCTGTCTTCCAAATGTTTAACATGAGTTTTAATGTGTATTGGAATCATGCTTTCTACACATCCTGTGTCCCCTGTTGTCTCATCTTTCCACAGTTCATCGAATTGATTCACATCAAACGCGGCTGGTGTTGTACCCTGATGACTGGTAAATACCCTCACTTACCTGTATTGTCCACTAGGTGGAGTAAAAATCACAATTCTCTTCCCTAGTTAGCGTCTGAATGAAAGATTGGACCATGGCAAAAAAGATAGGACATTTTGGTCTTTCTAAGCCCTCAAGCTCCACACGCCATATTTTTAACATCTTCTTATAACTGTTATACATAATACACGCACATTGAAGATCACATGGCCAATAGAGTCTGGACAGTGTGGGACGGGATAGAGCTCACAGGTCAAACACACGAGCAGTTATGCAGTAGCCGTCCAGGGTGTGCAGAAAGCATCTCTTTTTTTTTCTTTTAAAATGAAGAAATTATGAACAGATAAGAGGTTATTTACAGAATATATGTGTATGCGATTATACCTATTCATATACACATATGAAAATGTTTTAAGAAATGAATAAAGGTTATTAGAATTATAATAAAAGATGCAGGAATTACTTTGAGTGGCTTGTGGTCTGTTTACTTTATTGTTTAATGTAAATGGTTTACAACCACATGAGGGAGAATGAATGGCGAGGATATTTTCATTTTTGGGTGAACTGTCCATTTAAAAGGAATGCACCCAGAATAACCGAGAGACTCATTCACAACGTTCCAAATATCATTCAGCTGTCTTTACCAAGGCAACATACTAAGTTAAGATCAGAAAATGATTTGGAATTTTAAAGACAACGATCTGTGCAAGTTTTTTTTATCTTCCCAGAAATATGTTGACATTTTCCTTGGTCTTTTTTTCTTCCTGTTTTTTCATCTAAAGACGTTGTTCTCAGCCACATTCCTGGAGTCCCCCTCAGGATTGCATTTCTCCTTTGACTAATACACACATTTTAGTTCTTGGGGTTTCTAATAATGAACTGATGACTTTATGGGTGCATTTACATGGGGAAAATACAGTGTTGGGATGGCTTCTGGAATTTTTTTTTTTTAAACCATTGGTTATGGCAAATTGTTTTGACATTTAATTTATAACCCTGGCTATATCTAGTTTCCTGTTGCTAATACTTATTTTTTTAGATACTAGTGTATTTTCTATTAAGGCCTAGTACTTATTAGACACTATAGTTCTTTATTAGATACTAGTGCATTTTACATAGACTCTAGTACTTATTTTAATAGTGACTGGTAACTATTCTGTTACTAATTTATGTATACTAGTAAATTTTCCATTAAGTACTAATGCTTATTAGATACTAGTGCTTACTCATTAGACGGTAGATCTTTTTTTATTAGATACTATTATGTTCGAACTGTTTTTAAGTATTAGTCCCAACTAGAATACATACTAGTGCTTACACAAACACGAATTCCTTTTTTTTTTTTTTTTGAGATTTAAGATATTTACTATTTAGTTGACTAGTAGTATGTATTCTAGTTGGGACTAGTACATATTTTATGTACTGGTAGTTAGTATATAAAAACAGTACATGGGTAGCAGTTTCTAATAAAGTGTCTAATAAGTAAGCACTAGTGTATTTAAAAAAAAAAAAAAAAAAGCACTACTGTCTAATAAGCATTGTTACTTAATGGAAAGGGTACTAGTAACATGAATATATATACACTAGTATGGATTATAAATTGTGAACACTTCTTGCCATACTAGTTTTTTTGCTTTTATCTAATGCCCAGTTACTGTTATTTACAACTTAATAAAAAACAAATAATAAATTCATTCCTCCCTTTTTAACACCAGTTAGAAAATGCCAGATTGGGGTAAGTTTGTTGGAGAGACTCCAACGTTACGACAACGATAATTGTTAAATGCTGGAACTGAACTCCAGCATTGATTGATTTCTCAAAGTACTTTTTCCCCTAATCGCAGTAGCCTCATTTTTAACATCAGTGGAAGTGCAGCCATTCAAGATCGTCTTCGTCAGTCAAACTGTTTCACTATGCAGATTTTTATGCAAAGGGGCATGCTTATTCCACAGATGGTTCAACCCAAAAAATAAATTGGTCAAACTGGTCAGTTTGTTAAACCAAGATATTGAAGAATGTTAATAAATCATAAGTGGTTCAAAAGTTACATTTGCTTAACGTTGCAGGAAATAAAATTCCCTTTACCATTTTAACCTCATTCAACTACTGATTTAAATAAATTTAAACGGTCCACACTTATAAAACAATTCCTAAATATGAGTTAATACAAAATTTAAATCCCAGACTTTGTTCACAAGGAAGAAAATGTATACTGCTGGACAAGAACCACATGTACCTCAAAGGGCTCAAATCCTACATTTTCCAGTAACATGCTTTCTAGATTTTACCCCTTTAATATTAAAATGGCTTCAATCTAATGTTAAAAAAAAAAACTAAAATATAGATCTTGCAGTTTTAAAGTCTCATTTATTGGTTTTCAGAGAACAAAGGAAACTTACACAATAAAAAGAACGGGCAAAAAAAAAAATAATAATAAAATAAATTGCAGGGAAGAAAAAAAAAAATAAAAAAGGCTCATCCACAGGTCACTCACAGCTCAGCAGACTCCCCTCTAGAAGAACAGAAAAGGCTGATTACTCGTCACGTTTAATTACTTTAATACAACTTCATATTACATTTACACTTCTCAGGTTCTGCCATGTCAAGAGCAAAACTGCACTTTTGTCTACACATGAACTCAGAGCCCAGTGCTAAACATCACTGAAGCGTTTCACAAATCTACAACAAACTTCAAGTTACTTCATGAGCAATGACACTGTATCTCACCTCCAGTCAGTCTTGATGAATCGTCTAAATACTTGGTATTCTGAAACAAAAATACGAGGAAAAAAGTAAGTAAATGCAGGATGGTTTCATTTAAACGACCGTGCAAGTACGTCGTAGCAAGATTAACAAGGTTCGAGCATTTACCCACACCACGTGGTGTCGATAAAAGAGCATCTTTTACTAATACATTATGAACTACCACTTTAAAATAAACACGTATAACAAATACACTCAAAAGTAATTACTAAATACACAATTGAAGAGGGAAAACAAAGAAAAGACATTATCGAACTCCTCACCTCGGCAAGCTACTGCACACCCGCGTTCACTGAGAACTCTCTGAAGGCAGAGTGCAGTTTATATAGTCGACGCTGAGCAGGACCTTTAGGCGTCCGTTAATATCGCCTTTACACAATTTGAGAGCTTCGTCACATGAAGGGGTTATTTTAGATGTTTTGTTTTACCATGCATCTGATATATTTTTAAAACTGTATCTCCAATCACGTAGATACCCACATTGTTCTTTAAATATTTCTCTGTGACTGAAATCGCCCTCTTTTTTTTTTTTTTTTTTACCGAAATCGCCCTCACCAAAATGATAAACAGAAAAATGTTTAATTGTAGGTTAAAATGTGGCTATACAGATTATTGCATTGAATGTGGCAAATAAATAAACAAAAACATTTGGGTCAGTTCAAGAGTTGGCAGGTTTTTTTGAGCCTGAACCTTTGAAAGCAAGGAAACCACGCGGTGTAAGTATTTCATTTAGTAATTTATTTTTACATGCATTTTTACTTTGTTTTGTTTTTGTGTTCTTTTTAACAGATTAACTTATTAACTAGCCTAATAAATGTCAATCCTAGTAAATGAATCATGGTTTTACAAAAAGAATACACATTTATTATCATGAATCGTCATAGAATTACAATCATTCATTAATTATCTTTTCGCTTAGTCCCTTTATTTCATCTGGGGTCGCCACAGCTGAATGAACCGCCAACTTATCCAGCATGTTTTAAGCAGTGGATGCCTTTCCAGCTGCAACTCATCACTGGAAAACATACACACACACACAGACACACACACACATTCACACTTATACACTACGGCCAATTTATCATGTCTTTGGACTGTGGGCGAATCGGAGCACCTGGAGGAAACCCATTCGGTCAAGGGGAGAACATGCAAACTCTACACAGAAATGCCTACTGATATAGCCGGGACTCAAACCAGCTACCTTCTTGCTGTGAGTCAACAGTGCTAATCACTCAGCCATTGTGCTGCCCTCATTTGTTTTATATTTATTTATTTTTGAAAAAAGTTAAGGAAATATAGGGAACTCAAAATTGATTTAGCTTAGTTAATTATTAACAATCTTATTATAAGTAAACTATGTTTTTATTGTTCTTATAACACATTTATGCATTCTTCATGACCATATTCTAGATTCCTTAACTCTGCCTTATAACAACTGTTGTACTATTAATAAGCAGTGATTCTTGTGAGATTCACAAGTTAATAGTTATCTGAAGTATTATACATTTTGTAAGAAGTTATTTGTCTGATTTTGTATCAATGTTGCCTTGTGGCTGGAAAAAGCACAGAGATGAAAAAAGACAAATCAATTTTTAAAATGCTGTTAACATTCTTGTGATTAAAAATATGACTGAACCACACATGCAGAGGCATTTGGAACTGGCACTTGCAGTGGGTACAACAGCTGCCATATTTTTAATACTGAGTCATAGGCCTTTGTTTAACACAATAAAGTCTCACACTTTGAGTTTTCTCTCCCTCTCTTTCTTTTCACCCCATGAACCGCTGGATGTGCTGTGCAGCTGTCGTTTAGAGGGGTCTGAGACAATGGGAAATGTGAGGTAGGTAGATTGTGATACTACAAAAATAACCGAAAACTAAATATTTATGCCTAATTCACTGCAAAAAAAAAAAAAAAAAAAAAAGATTATTTTACTTAGATTTTCTGTCTTGTTTCTAACACAAATATCTAAAAATTCTTAAATGTGCAGTATGTAAGTTGGACACCCAGTGGTTGCACTAAATATTGCATTCCTGGATCAAGACAAACACAAGCACAGGTTGCCAAATTGAGGACTAAAAGGAGTGAGTCTGATGATTGAGCCTAAAGGCTTTCTCAAGGCAGATTTAAATTCTGTTCTATAAAAACCAATGGCACGTGATAGAAGGGACATTTTCATATTAAAAGTTTCAGTTCTAACCAACACCTCAAATTGGTATTTTAGAGACAGCTTTTATTTCTTGCAGCTGAACAACAGAAAACTGACAATGATGACCTCATGTACACCTTATATACTTTATTCAGTGTTAAATGCTAATAATGTTAGTTTGAATGTCATTTTACATTACATTTATTGCCATATACAGAAAGCAGCAGCAGATAGCTCACCTCAGATCTTGAAAATAAAATAAACTGTTTGAAATTGAACTTCAGAGCTGTGACTCAAAACTAACACTTAGTGATACAGCATGTACATTTAATATTCTTAAAGAGGTTTAATATGTATAAATTAGATTATAAACCTTACCATTACGTAAGTAAGTGCATATTCTGTGCTTCTGAATGACTGTATTTAAATTTCTGTCGTTTTTCATCAGGTGCAAACAGCCAAATTGCTTATCACTGCAAATCTCATCAATGCAACCTGCTCACCTAATGTTTACGCTTATAATATTTATATTATTTGCTAATTAATAACCTCATGTGGAACTCTGAATCTGCTTCTCATTTTGGAGTCTGCTACTGTCCACCAGGGGTCGCATGTTGGTCATGAGGAGCCTTTTTAAATGGATGAGTGAATGAAATATGCTGTTCCCCTTCGGGGGGAACTTCAGCACTATAAGTGGATTTGATTTGTAAAATCCACGCATTGGGAGGTTCGGTTCAGAAGCTACTCGTCTGAAAGAGTATTGAACGGGCCAATTAAGAATGAATTGGCAGCGCAAGCCTGCGCAGGTGAGCGGCATAAGCAATCAACTGAGTATATAGGCTCACCTGGCGCCAGCAGACGCTATCCTTTTCGCTTCAGAGACTTTCTGATCGAGTCGATGAGGGTTCCTCCTGCTGTGACCAGCGATTCTGAGCGAACGAGAGCATTCTCCCGGTCCAGAGTGTGTACACGCAGTGGCAGACGGTCGAGCTGGGTTTCTCCCTTGCCTGGCGTTCTTTGGGTCCGGTCCTCCAGAGCGGTGCGTATAAAGTTGCAAACTTCACAGAAAGAGCAACACAGTCGTGCAGCACGTCCTTTTCAGGCAGCGGGCACTCGGGCAGATCTGAGGGTTTCAGCGAGAGATAATCCGTCGCCCACGGGCCCGCGGACCTCCCGCTCCTCTAAGCGCTCCATCCAAGCTTCGGGCGGGGGAAGCGATCCGTCTAACAGATGGTAGCCCTTACGCCCGATGACACAGGAGACCAGATGTCCACCGCGGCATCGGAGGGTGGGCTTTCATTGTCCGATGATGATCCAGACCCGCTCGCCCCCTTCGGGCTGGTGAGCGCTGTCACTACGGATCCTGAAACGGACATGTTAGCCGTGCTTTCCCGGGCTGCTTCGGCCGTGGGTTGGAGATGGTTTATCCCCCAGCTCCGCGGCCGGACCGACTAGAGGGGCGTTCCCTTCTTCCCGGAGGTGCACAGTAGGCTCACGCGGTCTTGTAAAGCACTTTTTTCTGCTCGTGCTGCGTGTTCCTCCACCCTAACCACTCTTGACGGTGAAACAGCCAGGGGGTATGTGGCGATTCCTCAGGTTGAGTGCGCGATGGCGGTAAATCCGCGCGGCGCCTCTTCTTGGCGGGGTCCGCCTCGTCTCCCATCCAAAGCCTGTAAGTTATCTACCTCCCTCGGAGCTAGAGCTTACATAGCTGCGGGCCAGGCTACTTCCGCCTTGCATGCGATAGCCACCTACCAGCGCTACCAAGCGCAGGCGCTGGCCGAGCTGCACGAGGGTGGGTCCAACCCAGGCTTACGAGCTTCGCACCGCCGCCGACTTAGCTCTTCGGACTACTGAGTCCGCTGCGTGTGCGTTGGGGAGGACGATGTCCACATTAGTGGTCCAGGAGCGCCACCCCTGGCTGATATGCGCAAAGTCGACAAAGTCCGCTTTCTTGACTTCCCCATATCCCCAGCCAGGTTCGGCGACACTGTCTGTGAATTCACCCAGGAATTCAAGGCGGTGAGAGAGCAGTTGGTGGGTGATGTCTTATCGGCGGTCCGTAGCCCGCTCCGCCCGCCGTGCCATTCATACCTGCTCCTCGCCGAAGGCGCCCGCCTACGAGAGCTGCTCCGCCCCCGCACACGCCTCAGGCGAAGCGAGCGCGTCGGGCACCTCGGAAGCAGGCAGCCCCCCTGCCCAGAACGCCGCTAAGTCCGGCAACGGACCGCGAAGCGCCCCTGGGACAGGCCATCTGGAGAAGAGGGAACTTGCTCTTTCCCCGCTGGAGGGCGGGGCCCCATTTCCAACGGCACTTTTTACTGCCATGAAAACATTATGAAAGGGCACTTTTCACTTCCCCAGATGTGACAGCCCGAAATCTGCCAGTCTGGGACGCTATGCTTTCTAGCTTGCAGATTCGGTGCGTTTCGCCAGTGGCTCACGAGCGCTGGGAGGACGGTCTCCTTTCTCCCACCCCTCGAGCCTCCCCTCCGGAGCTCGGGTTTGGAGTGAGAGCAAATATCTCACCTCCAGCTTTTCCGTGGGACCCGCGAGCTTCCCGGATCAGCACACCCACTCCGCGCTGCCCCACTGCTGGTACGTCAGCGATTGTAGCGATGAGTCCATTAGCGAGAGCTCTGCCTGCCTGGTTAGCGCGGGCCAGCTCTTCGCGGTGGCTCATACGCACAATCAGACTCGGCTATGCGATTCAGTTCGCGAAACGGCCCCCCAAGTCACGGGTGTGTATTCACCAGGGTCAGCCCCCTGTCCGCCCCTGTCTTGCGAGAGGAGATTGCTGTCCTCCTGGCGAAGGATGCAATCGAGCCGCTCCCTCCAGCCGAGATGGAGGGTGGGTTTTACAGCCCACGCTTCATCGTGCCCAAAAAGAGCGGTGGGTCACGGCCAATCCTAGATCTGCGCGTTTTGAACCGCTGCCTGCACAAGCTGCCGTTCAGAATGCTCACGCAGAAGCGCATCCTCCGGTGCGTTCGTCCTCTGGGTTGGTCTGCAGCATTAGACCTGATGGACGCGTATTTCCATGTCTCCACTCTTCCTCGCCACCGACAGTTCTGCGGTTTGCGTTTGAAGGTCGAGCTTGGCAATACAAAGCCCTCCCCTTCGGGCTCTCTCTGTCTCCGCGGGTCCTCACCAAGCCCGCGGAGGGTGCCTCAGCGCCCCTTCGGCTCGCGGGCATCTGCATACTCAATTTCTTTACGACTGGCTGATTTTGCCCTCTCTCGGAGCAGTTGATTATGCACAGAGACAAAGTGCTCTGGCACTTCCACCTGTGGGGGTTTCAGGTCAACCGAGAAAAGAGCAAACTCGCCCCCGTGCAGAGGATCTCTTCTCTCGGGCTGGAGCTGGACTCGGTCACCATGGCAGCGCGCCTCTCCGGAGAGCGCGCTCAGCTGATGCTGTACTGTCTGAGAGAGCTCGACAGTAAAATAGTGGTCCCACTGAAACTATTTCAGAGGCTCCTGGGGCATATGGCATCCGCAGCCGCTTCATGCCGCTCGGATTATTCTATATGAGACCACTTCAGCACTGGCTTCACGATCGAGTCCCCAGACGCGCATGGCACGCGCGCGCACACCGAGTCTCTGTTACTGCGCTGTGTCGCCGCGCCCTCAGCCCTTGGAGCGACCCCTCGTTCCTACAGGCCTGGGTGTCTCTAGAACAGGCGTCCAGTCTTGTTGTCGTTTCAGCAGACACTTCCAACACGGGCTGGGGGGCTGTGCGTTGCGGGCATGCGGCTGCGGACCTGTGGAAAGGTACCCAGTTGCATTGGCATATCGCCTGGAGCTGTTGGCAGTGTTCCTCGCTCTCCACCGTTTTTTTCCGGTGCTGGAGCGGCAACACGTGCTGGTCAGGACGGACAGTACGGCGGCGGTGGCGTATATCAGCCGTATAGGGGGTATGCGCTCTCGCCGCATGTCTCAGCTCGCCCGCCGTCTGCTCCTCTGGAGTCATCCGCGGCTGAAATCGCTGCACACCATTCATATTAAGGCAAGCTCAACCGTGCAGCCGATGCGCTCTCACGGCAGCCTTGCGTCCTGGAGAATGGAGACTCCACCCCGAGTCTGTTCAGCTGATATGGGCGCGATTCGGGGAAGCCCAGATCGATCTGTTGCTTCCCCCGAGATCGCTCATTGCTAGTTGTTCTTTCCCTGACCGAGTGCTCTCGGCACGGATGCACTGGCTTACAGCTGGCCTCGGGGCACGCGCAAATACGCGTTTCCCCCAGTGAGCCTGCTCGCGCAGTTACTGTGCAAGGTCAGGAAGAGGACGAGGAACAGGTTGCTGGTTGCGCCCCTCTGGCTCAACCGGACCTGGATGTCAGAGCTCTCCCTCGCGATAGCCCTCCCCTGGCAGTCCCTTCGAGAGAGCACCTACTCTCTCAGGGACAGGGCACCACCTGGCACCCTCGCCGATCTTTGAAGAGATTTTAGACGCGAGGAAGACTTAGGTAACCTCCGATTGCGGTGGCTAATACCGTCACTCGGGCTAGAGCCCCCTCCCCGAGCGCGCCTATGCCCTGACGTGGAGTCTATTCACTGAATGGTGTGTCTCTCGCTGAGAAGACCCCCGTAATTTGCCAGATCAGCGTTGTGCTTTCTTTACGCCGAGAGAAGCTGGAGAGCAGGCTGTCGCCCTCCACACTCAAGGTTACGTGGCTGCCATCTCCGCTCTCATAACGCGGTGGCTGGCAGCACCGTGGGAACGCATAACCTCATCATCCGGTTCCTCAGGGGCGTTAAGCGAATTAATCCATCCCGCCCCCTCTCATGCCCTCTTAGGATCTCGCCCTCGCTACACAAGCCGCGTCAGATCCCTTCGATCCTCGACTCAGTATCTTTCTGTCCCTGAAGACAGCTCTGCTGGTCGCGTTGATATCGATTAGAGGGTCGGGGACCCGGAGGCATTTTTCGGTCAGTGACTCGTGCCTGTAATTGGGCTGGCTTCTCTCACGTCCTGAGACCCCGCCCGCGATATGTGCCCAAGGTTCCTACCACTCCGTTTTAATACGAGGTAGTGAGCCTGCAAGCGCTGCCCTCGGAGGAGGCAGACCCAGCCCTTCTTTATTGTCCAGTTCGCGTTTTGCGTATTATCCGGACCGCACTCAGAGTTTAGATCATCTGAGCAGCTCTTCGTCTGTTATAACGGTCGGCAGCAGGGAAGTGCCGTACCGAAATAAGTTCCCACTAGATTGTGGATGCCTTTCTTTCACTATCAGAGCCGAGATAAGCCGCGTCCCCCGAGAGCGCGTGCGCACTCCACTCGGAGTTTCGCATCCTCTCGAGCGCGCGCACGCGGCGCCCCTCTAACAGACTTCTGTAGAGCTGCGGGCTGGGTGACACCCAACACATTTGCAAGGTTTTACAATCTGCGAGTGGAGCCGGTTTCCTCAAGGGTATTAGGTAACCCTTGGTGATTGAGGAAACAATTCGGTAGGGTGTCGAAACACGCTTGCTGCGCCATTTTCCCTAACACGGAGATACGTGCGCCTTTTTATCTGTCAGTAAAGTTCCCCGTCAGGTGAGCCCTGCAGATTCCTCCGTGGCCCCCAGCACTGACTCAGCGGAGGAGTCACTTGCTGGCCCACTACGTTGTAGGTCTGCCCGCTGGTCAGCCCGCGTTTTGGGTAAAGGTGCCTGCTATGCGTGGTCCCCACTAGGCGATCCCATATGCTTATTCAGCCACGGTTAAGTCCCCCCCCCTGGGCGGACCCGTGTCTTCCCTCCCCGCTAACCACTCTTTTGCTATGCGTACTCCCCCTTTTTAGGGCTAGTCCATATGTAAATTCTGCCATCTATCCCCCCTTGGGTAACGGATGGCCTCCGCAGCGTCCTCCCTATCGGGATTGCACGCTTCCCAACGTACTGTCGTATTTTCCTAGAATTATCTAGATGCTCACGACTTCCCAAAAAATATATCTAAATCCGTAAAACTTCTGTTGAAGTAGGATAAATTAGGGCCAGGGACACGTTGGAGGACCGCGCCCCCCATGATGCGGGTGCGTCACGCTTGCTTGACTATCTCCTCATCGGGGGTGTTGGTAAGGTGCAGTCATTATGGCGCTTTCAATGGGCTCCCAATGCGTGGATTTTACAAATCAAATCCACTTATAGTGCTGAAGTTCCCCCCGAAGGGGAACGTTCGAGGTTACTAAAGTAACCCTTCGTTCCCCGAGGAGGGGAACGGAAGCACTATACTCCGTCGCCATAATGACTGTCCCTTAGCTGTTGAAAGTCTCTTCAGCTTAAAAAGGATAGCGTCTGCTGGCGCCAGGTGAGCCTATATACTCAGTTGATTGCTTATGCCGCTCACCTGCGCAGGCTTGCGCTGCCAATTCATTCTTAATTGGCCCGTTCAATACTCTTTCAGACGAGTAGCTTCTGAACCGAACCTCCCAATGCGTGGATTTTACAAATCAAATCCACTTATAGTGCTTCCGTTCCCCTCCTCGGGGAACGAAGGGTTACTTTAGTAACCTCGAACGTTTTCCATGAAGGCAACCAGGAGAACTGAAATATAATTGGCTAAAGGTGGCATTGGCCAAAACAAAGGCATTTTTACACATTTTTAAGGCAGAATAAATAAGATTCACTTGGTATATTTCTTAAATATCTGCAAACATTTTGTTTTATTTCTATGACTATTAAAAGTCAAAGTCAAAAACTTAGATACAACACCTTTAAACCAAGAAGCATTGTTTAGCCAAGCAAAACATAGTCTTGTTTTAAGAAATAATATGTCAAAATCAAGTGAGTTTTACCTTCAAACCTAAAGCTAAAACTAAAGTTAAATAATCTGCTGATGGGCTAAGCAAAATAATCTTTTTTGAAAAGTAAAAACAAGAGTTTTTTGCATGTATATTTGCTTGTCTAGAAAATGCATCTTGGTTTAAGAATTTTTGAATGTTTGAACTAGAAACAAGACAAAAAGTAAGAAAAGCGTAATTAGATGTGGTAAGTAAAAGACAAAACAAAAATGCAACAGAGCAGTCTTTCTTTCTAGGAATATTCTTGAATGAAACACATCCACACTAATTGTTTAAACTTAACAAACTTCATTACCACTGTACTGTGAGAGGCTAATCTGTACTTAAAGAGAGAGAGAGGGAGAGAGAGGGAGAGAGAGGGAGGAGTGTTGTCATGTAGTACGATCCGCAGAGCGAAACGCCTGGTTATCTGCAGCTGCTTCAGAAAGAGGGGGATCTGGAAAGAGGGAGGAGAGGAGAGAAAGAAAGTGACAGGAAGCCACCTCATTAAACACTGACAGTGGGTCAAAGACAGAGAGGAGAGGAGAACGAAGCTGTCCAGAACACACCATAACCATATGGTGGTCTTAAAGCGGTAGAGACAGCAGAAAAAAGTGGTGATCTGGTACATCGCAAAAGTAAAGGGAAAACCGAAAGGAAAATTTCTCTGGAAAAGTTGGAGGTGAGTCTGATGTCTCTTCTTTCTCTGTCCTTCATTTATTCTTGATATATTTGTGTAAAGTCGGATCACATTGCATTGATGAGTTCTGCAGGATTCAGAGACTATTTTTGTCTGATGCATTCATAAGTTGCTATATATTTCTTCAGTGTGTGGGTGTGAGTGGAGTTATGTGTGACACTCAAAACGGGGACAGGGGGAGGAGAGAGGAAGAGAGCCAGGGTGGGTGAGGGGTATGGGGGTTTGAGGGGCTTCCAAAAGGGGGAGAAAAGAGAAAATAACAGGGAGATTCTCAGCAACGTCATCATGATATTTTCAGAGAAATGGGTCAAATCCCATTCTCCAAAGTTGCAGACTTTTCTAAATCTTCCCAAGTAAGTTTTTTATATGAAATTTGATGGACTCCCAATGCTCTTTGTCTCTGTTTAAAAACTGCAAGAGGGTCCATTGTAACTCGTAAAGAATAAACCCTTCTAGAGTCTGTTCGGTAAACTTCTCACAGAATGCTAACAGGCAACAGGGCAAAATGAAAATACTGTTATCACAATCTTACCCTCATGTTGCTTCAAAATCTTATGACTTCTTTGGAATGCAAGCACAAAAAGAGACATTTTGATAAATGTTGTTGATCTTTTTTCATGCAGTGGCATTGAATAAGATCTAAAGCATTCTTTCTTCAAAAATGATGTGAAAGCACACTATAACAGTATAAACAAGTTGGTTGCACAACATATTTTTTTATATTTATGTAGAAGTCCTGTGTAGTGAGGGAACAACAGACTAAAATTTAAATATTTATTCCCTGAAATTCCACCCCTTCTGCGAGCTGTTTGGATCTTTGCAAACAAATGTAAAGTCCCCAGAAATCAAAACTAACTATATGATTTTCTTAGCTCACTTTGCTAGTTTTGTGGCGAACAATTAATCTGTGCATGTCATTAGGAATCAAAAAAATTGCCATTCTAATCTTTAATTGAAATCTGAAAATGCACCTGTTTGTTTTCAGTTAAATTGTCAGGTTGCGTATATATTAGGAATTGGGCGTGGCTAACATATTTAACCACACCCCTCCAACTGTCAGTTTTGACAATAAACAGAAAGAGTGAGCAGGAGGAGTCTGTTAGGTTGTAATAACTCTGCCCAAACCCTTTTCCCCATCTTTCTGAATGAAATGCCTACTTTACTACATCCATTCAGCTCCAGCAGAAAAAACAAGCCACGGCCACTGTTTTCTCATTAAATATTCTGTGTCTCTAGGAACTGCATCACAATATAAAAGAAGAAACAGTCGCGGCTTCCGGTTCATGTGGACTTTAAAGTCTGCATAAAATGGAAATGTACCCAACTTGACCTTTATATGATCCATTTTTTTAAAATATATGGATAATAAATGGATCCTAAAGGATTTGTCTCCTTCCAATCAACAATCAATGGATAGAAGTATCTATTCTTGTCCATTTTCTTTTATTACAGTAATTAGTTGCAATCAGATGTATATCGTAATACATAAGGCCCTACTAATTCCATGCAAATTAAAATGTGGAAAGAAAATCATCATATCATGTTTATAGACAGGGATGTCCAAACTCGGTCCTGCTCCAGCTTGCATCAACACATCTGATAGGAAGTGTCTAGTTTATCTAGAATCTTGATTAGCTGGTTCAAGTGTATTTGATTAGGGCTGGAGCTAAACTCCACAGGTAACCGGCCCTCCAGGACCGAGTTTAAACACCCCTGGCATAGAATCCGAAGGACTTTTGAAAATTGGTTTAACCAGAAAGAACTATTAGGCATATTGCAAGAGTAACATCTTGTCAAACTGAAATTTAAACAAAAAATTAAGATATTAACGTTTTTTTAAGTAATAATTATAATTTTATTTATGGTTAAAATGAAATCTTAGTAAAAAAAATACATTTCATAAAGTTTCATAATTTAAAAATCTTTAAAAAATCAAATATATAATAATAAAAGTTATAAAATAAATTAAATTGCTGTCATAAAAATATGTTTTAATTGAAAAAGTTTTATATTGTTAGATAAAAGTTTAGATTGATTTTTGTTGAATTACAAGTTTATAATTGGATCGGCCTGGTTCATGTACATGGTATTCAGCTCTACAAAACATGCTTTTTTCACTTAGAGGTTTTGTCTTGTTTCTAGTCCAAATATCTACAAATTCTTAAATTAAGAAGCATTTTCTAGACAAGTAAAAAATAATGTCTTGTTTTGAGAAATATTGCCCAAATTGAGTGAGTTTTTCCTCAAAACAACCAAAATAATCTGCCCATGGGGTTAGAAAAATAATCTTTTTCAAAAAATCATTTTCAAAACTAAAAGCTACAGTTCCAGTTCAACACACCACATAAAAATTGTATGTTCTCAATCAAACAAATATATTTAGACTGGTTTGGAATAAAATCTTCATTTTTTTGATGGCAAAATTATCCCTGTTAGCTTGTTCTCCTTGGCCGTGCATAAGACTATAAGATCTGAAGGGAGAGGAACAGAGGGGGGAACAGGAAGTGAGGTTAAAGTTGAAATATAGGGTGATTTACAAAACCCACGACCCCTGCAGTGGGAAAGCGAGATAGGAAGAAACCATCTGGGATAATGCACTCAGAGACATGGACTCAAGAGAGCAACTGAGACAGAAAGAGTGGAGAAGAGAGACAAATAACAGCTTGTTTACACGCTTCCCTTCTGTCATCTTGTTCTGTCTCTCCATGTCTTGTGACAAAATTGAATTTACAGAAGCAATTTGCCACAGGCATGCTGGTGTTGTCAGTGGAGTGTGTTGATGGCATGCATGTGTGTGTTTGGGGCAGCTCAGACCTGTGCTTTTGTGGACATGTCTGTGTTTGCATGCACATGATTTCACCAACATTTGTTGTTTTAGAAGAGAACTAATGTGTTTGTGCGTGTGCTGGAGTATCTGTCAGTATTGGTGAACTTTCACCCCTGTTTATTTTGGGATGGCTCAGGTTTCAAAGCGCAGAGCTCTGGATGAAGGCAGATAGCAGTGGAGAATATTAGGCACCGTCTGTCTGACTGTAACCCACAATTCTCAAAGCACTAACATCTGCTTTCAGCCATTTCATTTTTACACGTTAACTAGTCAGTAGCGGATTGTGTCTTCCAGAAAGCCCTTTGATCCTCTGTAAACAGCCATGTGTATAACTATCCTCCTTTCTTCGTCAACTAGACTTCAAGACCATTAAAGTTGTTTGTTGGAACCATGCACTTTCCGACGCAGTTCGTAAACTGTAGTTTAAATAAAAGAAAGCTTGTAAAACACAACGCCCTCCCAGCACGCTATTAGACACAGTTTGAGATTCAGCTTTGTCACACATATCTGACTATTGTCTGCCTGTTAGGACTAGATAGAAATGCAGTTATTTGTCCCTCTGGCATCTCAAACGGACAGAACTAATGACGGATGCTTTCAAAGCACTGCTTTGTCAAGCTTCTAAACCTTTGAAAATAACTGGTTTCAAACCAGTTATTTAGAGCATGTAGCAAACTGCCAAAGTCATGTGACTTCAGTAAACAAGGCTTCATATTATTACTTTTCAAAATGTTTTTTTGGTTTTTCACCACTAGAGGGCAGTCTCAGTGAAACATGGGCCATTGTCAGTGTGGTTTTTAATTTGATTAACCCATAATAAATCAACCAAAACTACTCAGATTAATAACAGAAAACATTTTTTACAGACATTTCATATTTAATGTATATTTAATTAGCTAAATAATTAAATGTGTGCAGTTTTCATCTGGAATTATTACCATTATTAAGAACACTGAAACTGAATTTACAGACCCTGTTACACACAGTGAAAAAAATACTTAAAATCTACTAATAAATTTGCTCTTAAAGGTGCATCTGTTACATATTTGTTTGTTTTTGGCATTGTAGAAATGCAATACTCACTATAGAAAATGTCTGTTTATTAACAGCGGTCCATAACCTGAGATCACTTTTCCTTTTATTTATACTTTTGAATTGCATTATGGGGTCCATGATCTGTGAACTTTTAATGTTGTAAATCTGCAGTTTAACAAGGAACTTTTATAAAAAAAAATTTATTAATTTAAAACAATATGTTGTGTAAAAAATAACGTATAGTTAAAGGGTCACAAAACACCAAAACACATTTTTTAAGATGTTGACAGTCATATGTATGCCCCACATTGCTAAAAAAAACTATTAGGACACATCTAATTCACTAAAACGTGAAAATTGGTTGTTTAGAGCAAATTCGTTCTTCCGGTTTAAAATAAAATTTTGAGGCAACGTCACGGCAATGAGATCATTGTGTAAATTCCAGCATGGAGATTGGCTGTCTGTACCGGCCAATACAAAGGGATGTCATTGAGTCTTCAGCACATCTGTTCATTAATTCATAAAAAGACTTTGTTCGTATCAATCAGCGCACTCTATTGTGAAAGAGATGCAAATTCATTAATATGCATGAAATAGCTTCAAAGGCTCTTTTTACCTGTTGCAGTGTTCAGAGAGACGCCACGTTGTGATGCCAACCATAATTTAAAGAAGTAGTAGAAAAATAATTGTTCGCAGACATTGGTTGTCAGTGTTGAGTTTATAAATATGCTGAAAAAAAAGTTTTGTTTCCATTTTCCCACAATAAGAGCACAGTTTGCATGTGGACCCAAGCAGTTGGATTACAGTAGTCTGCTAACACCCACCAAAAAGGTTTACAATAACAGAAAAAGTACTGGCAGCTCATGGTTTTTTTTTTCACATGGTTTTTGTTCTGTATCTGTACGCTCAGTCAATCCTGACAATATATCATTTCAACTTGCTAAAAGTGTTAGCGAAAATCACTTTGTTAAAATGTTCAGTTTTAAATTGTCACATGAGAAAATCCCTATTGACTTTATTTTTTGCATACGAGCGGCCGCAGCCATTTGAACCTTTTTGGCTCACACTTTTGATCTCATTCACTTCCATTCATTTTTAGACGAGATAAAAAACAGCTCATTAGTCTGCTGAGGTTGCAAACTGATATTTTCTTATTATTAGATTCTGCTTTGTCTGTATAGTCATGGACACTCTTGTTAGAAGAGCAAGTATTTTGACGTTTTCTGCCATTTATTATTCTTAGTCATTTCTCCCATAGGAAACGGAATCGGAAGTTATGAAACAGTGGCAAAAACGAGAGCATTTCTGCATTTTAGAATAAGGTAAAAAATGGAAAATTAAAAAGCATAAACAAACAGAAAACACTCCAAAATCAAGATCTATATAAAAGTTCATCATTCAGCCAGAATTAAATAATTCCAAGACTGAAAGTGTTACCACCAGTGTGGTTGTGGAGGTGAAATATCTGGTCATGTGATGTCTGCTCCCATCATAACATCCACTTCATAACATGCTGCCTTCGCAAGCTATCACTTATTGGTTACCTAGTTCGAAATTAGACATGAACAACTTCTAAAGTCATTACCTATAACTAGACAATATACAAATAATTTTGACACTATTTCCAAGTTCACAGCAAGAAGGTCACTGGTTCGAGTCCCAGCATTTCTATGTGTAGTGTACATGTTCTCTCCATGTTTGCATAGGTTTCCTCCAGGTGCTCTGGCTTCCCCCACAGTACAAATACATGCGCTACAGGTGAATTGGCTAAGCTAAATTGTCCATAGTGTGTGTGTGTGTGTGTGTGTGTGTGTGTGTGTGTGTGTGTGTGTGTGTGTGTGTGTGTGTGTGTGTGTGTGTGAATAAGTGTGTGTGAGTGTTTCCCACTACTGGGTTGCAGCTGGAAGGGCATTCTGCGCAAAACATATAGTTGGCAGGTCATTCCACTGTAGCAACCTCTGAGAGACTAAGCTGAAGGAAAATGAATGAATGAGTTTCCAAATTGGGCAAGCCTTAAGTTTTGAATAAAACGGAGGGGAGAATGATTGATGTACAGTAGTGTAGATATAACTACGTTACCTTGTCTTTAAAATCTGGTTGTATAAATAAACATGTGATACATGTTACATGTTTTATACACGGCATAAAGTAATATCCATTAAAATACAGGCTGTCTATCCATAGACCATAAAGTATACAGAGCAGATGAAATGTTTTGGTAAGGATCTGTTGGCAGTCTTATCTCCCTCTCTGTGCTTTAAAATAACATTTCTTCCAGAGACAGGAATAAAACCGTTTTCCATGATTCATAATTCTTTAAAACAACAAAGCACTTGAATATGTATTTATGGCTTCAGAAGTGAGAGGAACGTTCTGGTTGCATGTGAAGAAATCAAAACATGCAAGTTTTCATTTTAGAGTATATGCAAATAATATTTTTTTAATGTGGAAAAGGAATGCATCTTCAATGCTTTAAACTGTTATTTGCAATATCTCTCTTCCAGACTCCATCATGTCAACGCTTCCGGCAGAGTCGGGCCCTGAGGATGCCAATAATCAAAGCTTCTGGATGGTAAGTCAGGCAAGTTGATGGACAGCTAAGAAAACCCATCCAATTTCCTTTTTGTTAAGTATGTGTTACCAGAAATGCCCGTAGGTGATGTACCTTGACTTTTAACACCACCTTTAAGCTACAACAGATGACAAGATTTGTTAGGACATTAAGGGAAACGGTTCATAAAAGCCCTGCCACACTGTACATTAAACCAAATGAAGATTAATATTCAAGTGAAGTCTAGTTTACTTCTTTGAAACCACTGCAGCATGCTTTATGGTTCTTTAACCTTTAATCTCAGTCTATAAATTTCTGCCATTGTGCCTCCACCCATTTTAATTAGCTCAGCTTTTCTCTCTCAGCTCCTTAATTGGTTTGCTTCTCTTTTCTCCAATACTGCTGGGGATCATGCGGTAGCCTGCATTTTAATACCATAAAACATTTGAAAATCCTAATCTGTAACTCAGCGTATTTTGTACTTTGCAACTCTATTATTTTCACGATTATGATGTTCTGGTGTATTTTTGTCTCAACCCTAAAACACAAGTGATAAAGAAGTGTTTTTGCTAACGTCATCAGCTGTTAGTAATTTTTGATTTATTCAATGCAGAATACATACTTACATACAGAATACACCCTCCTGTGAAATTTTAATTCTTTTAAAAATATTTCCCAGTTGATGTTTAATGGAGAGTGTTTTTTTTCAACACACATACACTTTTTAATAACTAATTTCTTTTGATTTTGTCATGATGACAGTGCATATTATTTTACCTTTTTACAAGATACTAAAGGCATCACAACCACCTGGTTGACCTTTTATCCATAGGTTATCATTAATATTTGAATTGCTTATTACTATTTATCAGAGTTGTGTCAGCATATTATTTAATACAATATGTGTATTTCTTTTCAAGGAGTGCACCTTAAAGGGTTAACTAGATTAATAATCTTAACTAAAACAGTGTTTTTTATGATTTAATTTATGGTTTTATTCAAACATAATCATTTAGATTTGGTCTCAGAAGCTTGGTTGACAAGTGCCAATTAGATCAATTCTTGCATATTATGCTGCATTTGAACTTCTGCAAGAATCATTGAGGTTTGTTGGCATGCTTGAGCTTCTGTTCATGTTCACTGGTTAAATGGATTTTTAAATGGATGTATTAACTAATATGTTGGTCCAGTTTGGTAGTAAGACTGGAATATTTAAAAAATATCTTTTTAAATATCAAATATCAAAAGAAGCAAAAAAAGTTAAAATATTTTGTAGGGTATCATTTTAATTTTGCAATATTTTGCTTGAATGTAATTGTATTGTCTTTCAATTCCTGAATATTTTTGGTGACTAAAGCATTATTTTAATAAATATATCATAAATCTGTTTTATTTAAATGCACCGAAATACATTGCCTATATTCACTGAGAAATGGATACAAATGTTCATTTTCAAAATGGGGTGTACTCAATTTTTCTAAGCACTGTAATTGTATCCCACATAAAGGTCCTGGATGTCTGTTTTATGATTAGTATTTCTGATGATTTATTGTCATTAACAGTGGCATCTTTTTGATAAAGCTATGAAGCTATTTAAGATTCTCCTCAACTGTCCTTTTTGTTTCAACCCTTTTTGCTGAATTGCCATCCCTTCTGGAGCTCAGCCAGTTGTACAGTTTAGGGTCTCTGACAAATAATGTTCAGTCATTTTACTACAACCACACTGATATCCCCTGCTAGGGTTTTGTTGCATGCTCTACCTTGTAATTGGCTGGCCGCTGACCAGAAATGAGCACTGTAGGCTTTTGGTGTTCACAGACACTGTGATTGGTTAACCACAGCATTGGCAGAAGACTGCAAATGCAGAAAGTTGCAGCCGGAGTTGAACGAGATTGATTTTCAAACAGGCTTGTCTGTTCAGTAAAACATTTCTGTTTAAATACTGTGCAGATTTTAACCCAGTGGACTGTTTTATTCGGTTCGACAGGGTTTGTGTTTGGTCTGGTTTCTGTGATTCTCGGATTGGTTGGCAGGTGTTGCTCTTGCACCGCTCTTGGCTGGAGTTGAGATTCCTCAGCTGTTTTTACTTCTTTCTCAGTCTAGGAAAAATACGTGCTGCAAACCATAGCTGAGAGAGAGAATGAAAGAGAGGTAAAAAGAAGAAAAATGGACAAAGAACAGCACAGAAGGAAGATGTACTGTAGAAGCGTGAGATGAATTGATGAAATTGTGGGGGAGCCACTAATAGTAGCCAGCAAAATAGAAGAACACAGGCTCCACATCAGCAAACACGACGCCCATTCTGGAAGTGTCATTATGTTCACCCTCCTCCTTCATTCTCTCTCGTTTATCGTGTTATTGCAGTTAATCAACCCCTTTCACTGTGCTGCCCATGTGATGCCCCACTTACCACGGCCTGAATTCTCTAGACTCACTGGTACTCTAGCCACAGATGTTTTGTTGTTGTTTTTCAGGGGAATAATGTTTGATTTGTGTTCTGTTTTTTCACACCACGTGTTGTCTTCAGGCATTTATGTCGGAAACAAACCTTATGCTATGCTGATAGCTTTTCCAATTCAAAGAAAAGCAACCCAGTGACCCTGCTTGAAAAGAAAAGAGGCCATATTCACTGTGGCCTACAGAAAATACCTCACTCTTGACCTCTTAAACAGCCTATAAACCTTTAGCGCCAAGTGCTAGCTTTTCATTTTCTTTTCCCTCTGTATTTTACAATTAACCTTAGCGTTTTATCCATGTTCTTTCTGTCTGCTTCTCAGCCAGGGAACTACCACCAGACAGTCAAGAGGACTGAAGACTCCTTCCAGGCATGTAATGATATAGTGGCGTGTTTCCAGGAGAGGGCCAGGGTCGAGAGACAGTACGCACAGCAGCTTAGCGAGTGGAGTGCCAAGTGGAAACCCCTAGTGGATGCCAGTGAGTATTGCAGTTTTAAACCTACAAATTTGGCAAAAAATGCGAATACTTGAGTCTGACCTTTTTCAAAAAATACCTGAAGACTCGTCGTCATCAATACTTAATTATCTGATTGTCCAAAAACAACAATCTCTATGTTTTTATTTCACTGGACACTTTCTAAACAATAAACAATCCATATTTCTGGGAAAACTGTGCAATTCAGAGTGAGCTTCACACAGGTGAGTGGGATTGACAAACCACCTGTAGGACACACTCTCTCCTCTCCGTATGCATCTGAGACTTTCTTATCAACACTTAATAGTTCTGGAAATACTGTAAAGTGCAATTCTTAGTGTGCGTCACACAAGTAAGTGGGCGTGACAAACCACCTGTTAAAAATTATTTTCCTCTTCATATGCACCAGACACCTTCTTATATGCACCCCATGCTTCTTAAAAAACCATGTGCAATTCTATGTGTGCCTCACACAGGCGAGTGGGTTTGACAAACCACTTTTAGGCAACAATATCTCTTTTCCGTGTCTTTGGCAGAAAAAAACAACTTAACATAATACTAATACCTAACTTAGACTTCTCATAGCATTAATATATCACTACTCTCTGGTGATTTAAAGTGCTTCTTTTTATCCTCCTTTGTAAGTCGTTTGGATAAAAGTGTCTGCTAAATTAATTAATTGTAAATGTGAATCAGCAGGAAACTACCATCCCATAAAAGCACCACTGGGAGTGTGAAGTTCTTGGAGTGTTTGTATTGAGACTGCCCAAATGAAAGAGCACAGACGCAGCAGCTCATTTGCATAATGACCAACACAATCTACAAAAGAGCAGCGCAAATTAGCGTAGGGTTGCAAACAAGCAGAGCCGATGATTACCAGATGTGAATAATCTACTTGCAACACAGGTGCTAAACATTTGGTTAAATAATGTTGCAATTTTCAGAAATTTACAATTAGTTTTTCTCTGCATGACTTTTGTAAATCCTGAAATGTTCAACCCATGATGCAAGCTGTTAAATAAGTAAATAATTTTTTTATTAGTTTCTAGTTAAGCTAAATAGGCTCAGCCTGTTTAAAAAATAACATATTGCTTAATGTGTACTGTGCAGTTTATACTGCATATGGCATGTTATATAATAAAAATCCAATTCAGAATTTTAAATGTTCATAATTTTTTAATTGTCATGTTTAGCTGTCTTACATTTTTACAGTTATTTTTTTATTTTTTAATTAATCTGACTTTTTATTTTAATTCAGCCTTTTCAGAAAAAAAAACTACTCTACCAGACAAAAGTCTTGTCACCTATCCAAGTTTTATGAACAACAAATAACTTGTCTTCTAGTGGATCATTTGGTATCAGAAGTGGCTAATATGAAAGGCAAAGGCCTCTAGATTATGCTTATTTTATCAAAATAAAACATGATCATGCCTATATTTTTAATGATTTAATTAGGACAGCAAGGGGTGACTTTGCTTAGACAAAAGTCTTTTCACTTAACAGAAATAATGTACAGTATAGAATATAAAGTCAAAGTGCAGTGGAAAAATAAATAATATTGTGTATGACTCCCTTGAACTCCTATGAAGACTGCATCCATACATCTCTGCAATGACTCTAATAACTTATTTATAGTCATCTGAAACGGCAATTAAAGCGCTCTTGCAGGACTTAGAGTTCATCAAGATTCTTTGGATTCATCTTCAATGTCTTCCCCTCCATCCTACCCCATACATGCTCAATAATGTTCATGTATGGTGACTAGGCTGGCCAATCCTGGAGCAACTTAACCTTCTTTGCTGTTAGGAATTTTGATATGAAGGCTGAAGTATGAGAAAGAGCGCTGTCCTGCTAAAGAATTTGCCCTCTCCTGTGGTTTGTAATGAAATGGGCTGCACAAATATCTTGATACCTCAGGCTGTTGATGTTGCCATTCACTCTGAAGATATCTCACACGCCCCCATACTGAATGTAACCCCAAACCATGATTTTTCCTTCACCAAACTTGACTGATTTCTGTGAGAATCTTGGGTCCATGTGAGTTCCAGTAAGCCTTTTGCAGTATTTGTGATGATTGAGATGCACTTCAAAAGATAATTCATCAAATAATTCTACCTTTTGTCATTTGATCAACTAGAAGTTATTATTTGTTGCTTTACAACTGGGATCGATGACAAGACATTTGTCATGTAGTGTAATTGTAGTATGCTGTAAATAGTTAACTATTTTTATTGCAGTTTTCAATCAACATTACTATCCTAAATACATGCACATTGTGAAATTGTAATATGATTATTTTGGATTTTAGATTTTTATTTGGTTAAATTTGGTCTAAAAAAGGTTCAGTTCTTACAATGAGAACTGCAAATGCAATTTAGCAAATGCATCCAAAAACGTAGCATACTGAATAACATGTATGAGTTATATACTATTTCAAAGTATTCCATGGAGCAGCTCAGACATGACGTTTATTTTACATGAGGTGCTTACATTTTCAGTTGATGAAGAACTTTGTTTTTGTGACCATAAATCTTTGTCTTTGTCTATCCAGGTCCTCTCTATGGCTCTCTTCTGCGAGCTTGGCAGTGCTTCCTCTCTTCCGCTGACCGCCTCTCCTCACTGCACTCCTCCATCTGCCGTGCTCTCGTGTCCGAAGATGGAGATCGCATTCGGACCTGGCAGAAGGAGACTTTCCATAAGAAGATATTTGGAGGTTTTAAGGAATCTCAGGATTTTGAAACCGGTTTCTCGCGTGCCCAGAAACCCTGGGCCAAGAGACTGAAAAAGGTAGCAGCTCAAACTGCTGAGTTATCAAACATAAATGTATAAAGTGTGTATTTATCAATGAATTTGACCAGCGGGTGTGTGTTTTTTGTGACAGCTTGAGAAGGCCAGGTCAGCCTTCCACAAAGCCTGCCGTAAAGAACACATGGCTCGCGAGAGGGAAACTCATGCTCAAGGAAACCCTGACATTGCCATTGAGAAACAGAGAAAGATCCAGGAAGAGACCGAACTGGCTCACCAGGAGACAGAGAAAGTAAGTGTTGAGAAAATAATGGAGCGTTCCAAATTATATCCCATCATCCAATTCAGCAAAATGAAGCAGGAAAAACTACATTTATAGGCTGCGTAATGATGCAGCGAAAATCTACAATATATATCACGCTTAGGGATCATACATTAATCTACAACACTCGACACACAAGAGAAGATATGGAGACCTAAAGTACAAGGAAATCAAAACAGATGACTGTGTTTAGACATTGTGAAATTTAAAAAAAAAACTATTTAAGTACTGTTTTTTAAAATTTAGCAATCCTTAACACGTTATTATGACCTATTATGCAAAAATCACTTTTATAAGTGGTTTAAACACAGTCGTGTGGAAACAGTGGGTGAATATAGCTACAGTAGCTTCTAATGGTAAAAATGTATTTATTTTATTAAAGGTGCAGTGTTCTATATAAAAGCAACAGCGCACGATAGAAGGAAAACTTTCCATAAAGGAGTTTTGTCCTAACCAACACCTCGAATTGATATTTTAGAAATGGCTTCTATTTCTTACTATTTTATTATTTTCTATTTTGCTGAACAGAAAACCAATCACCTCAGATACACCTCATGTGCTTTATTCAGTGTTAAATGCTAATAATGTGAGTCTGAATGCCATTTTACATGACATGTATTGCCATACTACTGAAAGCAACAGCAGATAGTTTACCTCAGATCTTGATAATAAAATAAACCTTTTGAATTGAACTTTTTCAACAAGGCAACCCAGGGGGCTGAAATACAATTGGCTAAAGTGGCATTGGGCGGGTTAAAAGCATATCAGAATTTTTTTTTTTTCAGATAAACAAGAATGTTCACTTGGCATGTTTCTTAAATATCTGCAAACATATTAAGGTATTTTTATGCTTTAGAAAAGTCAAAAACGTGCAGCACCTTCAATGCTGACACACTGACATATTGGGGTTTGTAGCTCTGCACTCTTTTGAAAATTAAAATGCAGTCTCATTTCATTTTAAAGTGACAGTCAAACTTTTTTTACATCTTGTAGAAAGGTGCACTGTAGCCTTGCATTAGACATCATTTCTGATTTGGTATTTAAAATAGACATATAGTTCACCCAAAATTAAACATGTTCTCACAATGTATTTACCCCCAAGTAGTCGCAAACCATTATGAGTTTATTTATTCTTTTGAACACTAAAGAAGATATTTTTTAGTAAATCTGTAACCCTAGACTTCCATAGTAGGAAATAAATACTAATGGTTACAGGTTTCCAGCTTTCTTCTAAAATATTCAAAAGTGTTCAAAAGTTGAGAAAATATTGACAGAACTCTCAGTTTTGATCAAACTATCCATTTCTGACTTGGTTTATCGAGCAATTTGTTAAAGTATTAGTAAATATGCAAATACATATAAATAATTAAAATTATTGTTGTGTTTCCTTATTGTGAAGCTATATTTTTAATTATATAGACTCATTCAAATGTTTGGGGTTGTAAAGATTGTTTTAGTTTTTGGAGGAAGGATCTTACATAAAATAAAAAACATTGATATTCTGAAATGTTATAAAATTGATGTATCTAAAATATTCAGATTTATTGCTCAAGAAACACTTGCTTATTCTTATATTAATTATTATTATTGATAAAAGTTGTATTGCTTACTATTTTGTGTAAATGGGATTTTTGTTTTAGGGTTATTTTTTGATGAGATGCATAGAAAGAGCTTTTAAAAGAGCATTATTTTATAGTTTTTGAACTATTTATATTTTATTTGGACAAATAACTTTTCAACTAATAACTAATTTGATTGATTGATTGAGTAGTTTTTAAAAGCCTGTCAGTCTGAATGAGCACAAACACCGTAAATGACACCTGTAACTAAGTGTAAACTCCTGTGAGCAGGTGCGAGCCCGCTATGAGAAGGTCCTTGAGGAAGTGACACGTTATGCTCCACGCTACATGGAGGAAATGGAGTCTATCTTTGACCAATCACAAGAGGAGGAGAGGAAGAGAATAAGCTTTCTCAAACAGGCTTTTCTCTCCATCCACAGGCACTTGGATGTCACCAACAATGAAAGGTGAGTGAGAAGGGAAATTCTGGTTAAAATCTCAAACTCCAAGTGAGTCATTTAGAGCTTAATAGTGTGCTCTTTCTTTGTTTTAGTGTGAAAGCTGTGTACAATGAGCTCCACGACACTCTGATGTCTATCAGCGAGCAGGAGGATTTGCGTTGGTGGAAGAACACACATGGGCCAGGCATGCCCACTGACTGGCCTCAATTTCAGGTTTATGCAAACGTTTTACAAAACAAACTCTGACAAAAGAATTTGTGTCAAAATTTATACAGTCATTAAGAACACTCTTATTTTTAATAACAATCTGGACAATTAATTTCTCATGAAAAACATACAAACATATAACAATGCACATTGTTAGACAGAGAGAAGTACAAAAAAAAATCCTTAGCAGATTTATGATGATCAGAATTATGATAAAAATCATGATTTCAACAAATTCAGTTCAATTCATCTTTATTTCCAATGTGCTTTTACAATGTAGATTGTGTACAATGTGGACAATCTTGCATTACTTAATTAAATTTGGTACTTTTTTAGTTGCCTTTTAAGGAAAGTAATGTGTCATGTTGCTGTTTCTTTGGACTGGGATGGCTTAATAATGCTTGTAATAACATTGTAATAATATTTAATTGAACATTTTTTTTAATGGATGTGACACCAAAACATAACAAAATCCATACACAACACATCTCTACTTAATCTTGATTTCTCTTTGGAGGTCTTTCAGTCAACAAATTGGAAAACAAAAAGCAACTGCCAATTATTTTATTTTCTTATAAATGAAATAGGTAAAATGAGTAGAATTAGGAGTTTTACTTCACTGGTTGCTTCTAAAAAGTAATCTGATAACATAACTCACGTTTCAGTCCATTACCTCAACACTGTTATTGAAACTATTTTATAAAACCTCAAAATTATTATAAAAGTAATAATTATCCGCAATATGTCATTACTACAAAAAATCCAGATGATGGCGTAATCATATTATGGTATAATAATATCAAAACCAGCATTCAGAGTTATGAAATATCAAGTCAAACAGTGAAATAGAAAGGCATGATTATGACAAAATTAGATAAATATATAAAAAGTAGCTATTATGACATAAAAATCACAGTAATGACAAAATGATTATGAGATGAAAGTATATGATAAAAAAATAAAAACTGTGACAACCATAATTATGATATAAAAAAGTCAAAATTATGACATACCGAAAGTAATTTATGATGATGGCAAAATATGAGGTCATAAAAAAGTAATAATTATTCCAATGTGCATGTTCTTTAGACTTTTTTTTATCACAAATTTGACATATAATAATACAATAGTTTATTTTGAGTTCTCTATTATATAATAATAATAATAATAATAATGATAATAATATTAATAATAATAATAAAAAATAATAATAATATTAATAATAATAATAATAATAACTAAAAGAAAAAAAAAACAATGTTTCTGTACCGCTAAAATAACTGGAAGCAGCAAAGAAGCCTTAAACATTCAAGTTACAGCTAATCACATCAGCTCTTATGTTAAAAATAAGGCTGATTATTAGCAATGATACAATATGCAGTAAGCCTTAATCAGATCATAACCATGGCAAAAACAAACTGTTATACTTAAGCTAATATTTTGAGTTAAATGCATCTTAAAGGTTTTAGAATGACGTCTGTTTTATTGTCTGTGATATTTATATATCTCACAGAAACACATCTTCAAATAGACTGCGTTCTGTTGTGCCAAAACCCACATTTACTCCTTCACTCACCCTGTCTTTTGCTCTCTTTCTATTTCAGGAGTGGACTCCAGACAAGAAGCATAAAAAAGGAAAGAAGGAGGTGGAGCAGAAAGCAGCAGTGATGGAGAGAAGGTCAGTTTACTACAGTCATGTTTGCCGTGGGCCTTTGTTATTATTTATTTGCTGCGCTGGACTGACCTTTTGCTAAGCTTTAGCCCCTTTGGTTATTGTTGCTCAGGCAAGCTTTACAGGACATCCCGTGTGAATCAATCGTGGATTGAACAGTTAGATTTTCTGCAAAATACACAAGTAAACATAAACTGGATATTATATTCAGTGCTGGAATGTATCGTGATATTGACAAATATCGCCAATTGTATTTCAGCCCCCTGGGTTGCCTTGTTGAAAAAGTTCAATTCAAAAGGTTTATTTTATTATCAAGATCTGAGGTAAACTATCTGCTGTTGCTTTCAGTAGTATGGCAATACATGTCATGTAAAATGGCATTCAGACTCACATTATTAGCATTTAACACTGAATAAAGCACATGAGGTGTATTTTGTCTGTTTTTTGTTTTTGTTATAAATCTATTATTTATGCATTATTGTGTGTAAAACTGACTCAAAATTGAGCCAGATGCTTGTTCAGTCAAGATAAAGTAAAATATTTTACAGTATGTTTGGAGAATTTCTGTTTATGCCTATACAAGGTCAGAAATAGTCAAACCTTTTATACTATTTGGCAGTATGTGGAAAGTTGTCTGTTTCCATCCGTCTTTTGTTTAGATTTGCTGTACTTTTTCTGTGGAAGTTTTGTTTCACTTAAGAAAATTAATATTTTCATGTATTAATATGGTAGCCTGTTTTCACGACTCTACAAAGAAAGACATTCTAAGATATGACAGTGTATTAAAAAATGATTCACAATAACTGTTATGAAATAAAAGTTAAAATGATGAAATAAAGCATCAAATTTATGACAATTGTGTTGAAAATATGAAATAATTATGTTAAGAATATGAGATAAAATCACAGTTATAGTTTGTTTGATATTACTTGTTCCATAAAATATTTTTAGTTTTTCATTTTATATATATATATATATATATATATATATATATATATATATATATATATATATATATATATATATATATATATATATATATATATATATATTTAACTTTCAAGTGTTTTCACCATAGTTTACATTACTTCCCATCAACTTTACATTAGCAATAAGCTTTTATTAATTATGATTTGTTCTCAGTGGTGGGTTGCAGCTGGAAGGGCATCCGCTGCATAAAACATATGCTAGATAAGTTGGTGGTTCATTCCGCTGTGGTGGATTAATAAGAAGACTAAGTCGAAAAGAAAATAAGTGAATGAATAATTATGATTTGTAATGTCATTATTTCAGATTATGTTGACCTTTTATCATAATTATGACCTGTTTTGGGAAAAGTTACTTTAGAAAGTAATGCATTACAATATATTGAGTTAAATTGAAGTGAATTAAATAAACTAAAAGGTAACTCACGTTACATTTTTTAAAAAAAATAAAGTGACTTCAATATTATTATTTAATTTTTAAAATTAATGTGTTACTTAGAAAAGTAATATTATTATGTAACTTGTGTTACTTGTAATGCGTTACCCCTAACAACATGCCCTAATATTAATAATTATGAAGATGTTTTTTAATTAATGCTTTGAATCTTGACATATCTTGTCTTTATTTCAGAATTATGACTCAGTATGTCAAAAATATGACTGTATCTCATTATTTAGATTTTATTTCATCTTATCATGTAGCCTAATTATCAGTTTATATCTTAGAATCTTGACTCATGTAATAACTATGTTTTATTAAATTTTTTTCATGGGTTCTTTCATAATTTCAACAAAGGAATGTTGAAAAAAAAAGTTTTTAATTTTCATTTGCATTAACCGGAAGTTGCTGACACTTTTATTTCGATATGTTGATGTACTGCCAACTGAAATCGAATATTAAGTAGGGTAAAGGTTTTTTTTCCCCCCGCACATTACCTCATAGCAAACTAACGGTAAGAGGGGCATGGTTAAAAATATTGTGGCTGAAGCTGTCATACTGACCTCATCACAGAACTACTGTCACTTCAAACACAGAAGCAAATGGTCAGACTTGAAGATTACCAAAATAAAAATAAAAAACTTGCATGGATTACTTGTTCACCTAAAAAATAAGAATGTGCTAACAAAATAATATTGCAATATTTGATTAAAATGATATAAAAAGACAAGATTTTGTTTTCTAATTTGATATAGCAGCAGTTGCTAAGCTAAGGGTAGTCAGAAAATGTTTATTGGTTTGTCATCCTCGTTTATTGACTGTGTCTGTTTTCCCAGTGTAATGATTGGAGGAGTGAGAGTCCGAGCTCTTTATGACTATGTTGGACAGGAGACGGATGAACTCTCCTTCAAAGCAGGTCAGTTGCCTTTTTTTTGTGACTGTGTATACAGTGCCTATAGAAAATCATCACACCCCTTTGAAACAATTCCTATATTTGTCATACAGCCTGAAATCAAATCATGTTCCCAATAACTTTTCCAGCTTTTAAAATGTATTTGTAGTCTTCTTCTAAACTGCCTTTCTATAACTTTATCCTGATGGTTTATTGAAAGCAGGATGTAATTTGAGTAAAGGTTTTGATTTTCACAGGGTATGATGATTTTCTATAGGCACTGTAAGGTAAGTCTGTATGCTATACATCCAGATGATTGTTTTTTTTCTTTGTATGCGTTCAGGTGAGGAGTTTCTGAAGATCGAGGATGAGGATGATCAGGGCTGGTGCAGAGGCATGATGGATGGAGGAAAGGAGGGTCTTTATCCAGCTAACTATGTGGAGGCAGTGTAAAACCACAGCTCTTGGGTCTGTAAATGTCCACAGGCGACCAGATTCAAGACTGTTTTACAACCGTTTTCATTCAAGTTTGCTTGTTTTCTTTGAGCGGATGGTACACAGGTATGGGTTTAGAACTCAACAAAAGTTAACTCAAATGGTTCCCAACCAGTATGAGATGTTTTGAAGAATCTTGGTAGCCATACTCATTGACTTCCATAGTAGGAAAACAGATACTATGGAATTAAATGTGTATCATCTTAAGGATTTCTTCTTTTGTGTTCAGCAGAAGAAAGTAATAAGTGGAAGATTTTACTTTTTTTGGGTGAATGATAAGTGATAATGAACTGATAAGTGCATAAGTTGGGATCAGAGAAAATGTTTCCAAAGCTCCGTAACTACGATCTTACTTGAGAACAATGTAATTGTACATTTTATTATGTGTCACTCTGTGGCTTTTAATCAAAATGCAGAGATTTTCATATGTTATGATATGAATAGATTCTGAGATTGTGTAATATATACATATAGAGAGAATATGAACTGCATTGTCTTGATGTACAGAATGGTTGAAGTCCAAAAGAACAGCCTTCCTGTGACAATTTTAATATTTTAAAAATTGATACACTATTTAACCAAAAGTCCCTTTAAGGCAAGTCATTTCACTCGGCGGCCTTCTTTGAGACTTATCACTCGGGCAGTATGCTTGGGCATTCTGTCTGAATGGGGAAACATCAAATTCTCCAAAACTGCTTGTCAAGCTTATACGATTGAATTTCATATCAGGAATCACCAATAAAATTAAACAACAACTGTCTTTTTAGTTTCATTTCTAAACGCCCAAATCACACAAAATCTGCAGAAACTCATGTCTGGTCTGACCCCCTCCCGCGGACTATCGTCAGTCTATAGCGATCAATGTACTATATTCCTGTACTATAAGGTGGGCTTTAATCACCATATAGTGATCGATGATTGGCTCCTGTACTACTGGGAGGGGCTTTATTCACCAAATTGACAGTTACACTATTCCCCATTCAAAAAGATATGAGTGACATGTCTTGTGTATTCTATAGCCTGTGTTTTAACATAGAGATTTTTCAACATAAGATCTTTAATACCTCATTTCTTGTGTCTTTACCATGATGACATTACACAATATTTTGCTAATTTTACAAGATACTAATATTCAGCTTAAAGTGCAATTTAAAGCAGGGGTTCCCTAATTTTTCAGCCTGTGACCCCCAAAATAACAATACCAATCACTCATGACCCCCAAAATGCTGTGAATATACAAACCTTGCATGCAAAGGCACCCAGACACCAATAGACTCAAGCCTATTTTTCATTTAGTTTTGAAGAAGGCCACTCAGAGATCATCCTCCATGTTTGGTTGTGTCCTGGATTTATTTTTAATGTATGTGAGTGCTGTAAAAGTTTAACGTGGTGCCATAAAATCAATCTTCTGCATCTGACACTATTGCTGTGTCATTAATATAATGTAATCACCCTAGAGGTCACAATCCAATGGATTTTTTTTTCATGTTTATTTTATTAACTACTATTTTTATCTTCTGTATATGGATAAAATATGCTAATTTTAATAGGTAATCAAGTTAATTAGATTTTTGTAAATCTTTAAGCAACAGCTTGAAGTTGTATAAAAGTGTCTTGAAAATATCTAGTCAAATATTATTCAGTCATCATGGTAAAAATAAAAGAAATCAGTTATTAGAGATAATTTATTGATACTATTATGTTTAAAAAATGTGTTGGAAAAAATCTGCTCTCCATTAAACAGAAATTTGGGGAAAAACAGGTGGGCTAATAATTAAGGGGGGCTAATAATATTGACCTTAAAATAATTTTTAAAATATATTTTATTCCAGCCAAATAATACTTTCTCCATAAGAAAAAATATTATCGGAAATACTGTAAAAATTTCCTTGCTCTGTTAAACATAACTTGGGAAATATTTGAAAAAGAAAACAACTTTCACAGAAGGGCTAATCATTTGCCTTCAACTGTATGCATGAGTATTTTGAGGACAGTGTTTCACACCAAAGACTTCAGTCCTAATTTACATTTTATGAGTGAAAAATTTGTTCTGATGATAATTACGTTATATCTGATGCCTGTGTAAAAGGGGCCAGATGGTTATGATGTCATCTACAGCTGTGAATTTCACACAAGGTGATAATAGATATGATAATATGCTATATATTTATCCGCTTTGGTCTTGTTGCTAAAAGTCACTCGTCTCACATTTAGTCATTTTAGCTGCACAAAGGCGGTATTAATCAACACCACTTTAAAGTGATAGCCATGGGAGCCATTACGGTCTCTTCTTGTGTATTTCTGTTGTGTTTAAGCTCTATTTCTAACCAAAGAAAATGTATGCAACTGAGCGCAGTGTTTGTTTGTGCAGTAGTGGGAGTAAATGAATTCAGATCAGCGCAGTATTTTATGCACCGTCGCTAACCTAATGCAAACACTAGCAGTATTAAAAGGGATACAGATTACTTTGTAGTCTCGTTCTTATTAATCATCTTGGAAGAACTTCATTACACAGACACACATTATACACACACACATACACACACACATTTTATTATTACACTGTGCATGAGACTTCATGCTGGTGCAAATATATTCAGCTGTAAATAAATTTTCATATACAGAATGTGTGGGTGTGCTACTTAATTTAAGGACAATATTTTAAAAAAAAACGTTCAATTTTTGTGGTTTAAAAATGTCTTATGCTCAGAAATGCTGCATTTAAATGATAAAATACAGTAAAAACAATAATTTTGTGATTATTATAACAATTTACTTTCTTGTCATTTAAAATGTACTTCCGTACTTCTATTTCTGTTAAAGTTAAATTTTCAGCATTATTACTGTAGTCTTCTAGTTAGTAAGTAATACAGCCAAAGCACTTTACAGTCATGAGGGGGCTCTCTTCACACCACCACCAGTATGCAGCAGCCACTTGGATGATGCGACAGCAGCCACAGGACAATGGTGCCATTGCGCTCACCACACACCAGCTATAGGTGAAGTGGAGAGACAGGGATAAAGCCAATTTCGTGGTTGGGGATGATTGGGAGGTCATGATGGGTAAGGGCGTATGGAGGGAATTTGGCCTGGACACCGGGGTTACAGCCCCACTCTTAATCAATCAATCAATCAATCAATCAATCAATCAATCAATCAATCAATCAATCAATCAATCAATCAATCAATCAAACAGTCAATCAATCATTCAGTCAGTCAGTCAGTCAGTCAGTTAGTCAGGCAGTCAGTCAGTCAGTCAGTCAATCAATCAATCAATCAATCAATCAATCATTCGGTGTGTCGGTCGGTTGTTCAGTCAGTCAGTCAATCACTCAATCAATCAACCAACCAACCAACCAATCAGTCGGTCGGTCAGTCAGTCAGTCAGTCGGTCAATCAATCAATCATTCAGTCAGTCAGTCAGTCAGTCAGTCAGTCAGTCAGTCAGTCAGTCAGTCGGTCGGTCGGTCGGTCAATCAATCATTCAGTCAGTCAGTCAGTCAGTCAGTCAGTCAGTCAGTCAGTCAGTCAGTCAGTCAGTCAGTCAGTCAGTTAGTCGGTCGGTCGGTCAATCAATCATTCAGTCAGTCAGTCAGTCAGTCAATCACTCAATCAATCAATCAATCAATCAATCAATCAATCAATCAATCAACCAATCAACCAATCAATCAATCAATCAATTAATCAATCAACCAACCAACCAACCAAACAATTAACCAATCAATCGAAGGCCTTTATTTGTCAAATACCCTTCCATGTAGTCATATACAGTCATGTAGTGAAATTGGACGTCCCTGACCATATATTACAAGAAGTGCCATGGGATTTTTAATGACCACAAAGAGTTAGGAACTTGGTTCTGTCACATGATCCTTCAGAAATAATTGTAGTATTATGATTTGATAGTATATTTGTAGAATTCCTGATACTTGAACTTAAAACATTGGTATCAAGTTGTCTGAAAAAAATGGCAAAAAAATATTTTTTTCAAATATTCGTTTCAATGGTTAATTTTTTATATAATAACAGTTTTATATTGAAATAAAAGCTTTATATTTTTCTATCCCCTAACCTTGCACATAAATGCACCTCTCCCAGAAAACATTCTGCATTTTTACATAATTAAAAAGTATATATTTAATTAGATTTTACAAGGTCAGTTTTTTTTTTTTTTTGGATAATTGCACACAGTATGACTTAGTTGTACTCTATTAAGGCGTGGTGTGAACTCTAGATGTGAAGACCAGGAGTCTTTCTTCAAGCAGGATTCTTTATTTATAACTCAACATTGCTGCAGTCACGAAGTCATCTTTGAGAAGTCTGTAAGAAGTCTGACTAGTACAGTGTTGCACTGAATTTTATATATATTAGGGTGGTAGAAAACAAAGAAACGGCCCTTAAAACTTAACAAAAGATTTAAATGAAGTGGATAGTCATGTCCAGACACTTGGAAGTTTCACTCATACTAATTTAATCAACATAATAGTTCCATAGGTGTTAATCCAATTAACTTGACAGTATTGTCCAGACTTTCATGGAGACAAAAGGCACTGCCATGGCCTAAACTTCGGCCTTGGCCTGAATTCAAAACACTTCCAAAATCATACTTAATGGGGTCTATTCATAATGATGAGCTATTTTTACTAAATAAGAAACATTATGTCTATAAAGAGTCATTGCAAAGCACCAATACCAAGATGTGTGTCTGTGCATGTATCTGGTACTACAAATGTTATTGAATCTGGTATTTAAATTTTTTTTTACTCTATGAAGAACATTTTTGGTACCAGTGAGAAAATTTTTTGCTGTATATTCTATACAGAATGAAGATTTTTGCAAATGTAAGAATGTAAAATGTTTCAATTGAGAGCTGGGTTTAGAGGTAATGTTTGGGTTAGGGGAACAAATGTCCAGTTTGTGCTGTATGAAAGTCACTATGTTCATGACAAAAACACCTCCATCTTTATTCCTATATATGTTATGATTTTTGTGCTGTACAAACTGTATATTATATCCCCAACCCAAAACCCAGCCCTCAGTGTAATCTAAATGTTCAAAATGATTCATTTTGTGTGACTTATATGTCAGTAAAAGGTCCAAATTTAGTAGTCTGGCTATACTTGCAAGGACATTTGTCCCCCACAACATAAAAAAATACAAGGTGCATAAACACACACAAACACACTTTGTATCGTGTGTGTGCGTGCACGCAGGCTCATATATGAGTCAGCCTGCTCACGTATCTGAGGATTTGAGCTCGACTGAACCCTGCAGCTCATCTTTAATAGTGTCAGATCATTTGTTGTTTTGCCCCAAGTGCTTGTCACACGCATTCTCAGTCACATACATGCCTATCGTGCATCATGAGCACATGATTCAGAAATGTCCTTCTCTGGGCTTGATTTTCCCTGGGTCAATTCCTTTCCCACAGTTTTGAGCAACATTAACCTTCCACCTTTGCAAAAACAAGCACAGCCCATAAATGTGCTGATTACTGCTCGCTGTCTGCATAAAAGTCCTCTCAGGGAAAATAATAACACTCAGGCTAAGTAAAGCTGGCACGAGCTCTGAGTAGGTCAATGAAGCGACCAATTTTGTCCAAAAAATGTGCTTGTACTTCACAGGTTCTAAACTCTCACAGACACCTTGTTTACCAAACTGAAATTCACAATTACTTGCTTTCATTGCATGTGTCTCTGCAAGCATAACTTAATATACCTGAGAACAAGCATGAGGAGGGTGCTTACTTGTTAGGCCTTT